ATGACAAAAGATAACTGTCATCATTTAATTGCTTATATCAGTTCATTAAGCTTATGAATATTAACACACATATATTTCTCAGAAACAGTTGGAAACAAACTTTACTTTTTTTATAGAAGATACTGGCTTTGGGACAGACTCTTTTTTTAAGGAAATATTCTTGCTTGTTTTTTTTTTTTTACTTTGCAACTAGAGTTTTGGCTGACACCTAGAAGTTCATAATAAAACCACCACTAAAAATGGCAATAAGGATATGTTATGCTAAACCAATTGGGTTATATCCAACTTTACCTGAACAAACATTTGCACGCCACAGAATTTCCTCTCTCTCTATTCCTCCCCGCTTACCATCCAACTTAAGCAGAAATAAACTAAAATCTTGCTACCTACCATTAAGTTGTGCAAGACAAACTTGGAAGTGACTTTGCATTTTACAGGTTGCCAGTTAAAATAAAAAAGAATTAATCTCTCCAGGAACATTTTATCAGAGTCTATCAAACGTGCTGAAATGCAGCCAAAAAAATAAAAAAATCAAGCAATCAAACAATTTTTTTTGCACTTTTAAGAGATTTAATCCATGATGGTGATATAAGAATGGTAACGTGAAATTGGCCTATTTTTAGTAGTATAGATTTAGAATATTGAGTGAAATATGAAAAATCCAAACTTTTTCAACATCGTTATTCAGAAGTGATAACGTTGAGCCATGGAAATGCCCTGAAAACCTAAATGCATTATGCATAACTATAGATACTGTTCCCTAGTTCTGCTCTTTTGTAAACCAAAGATATGAAAAACTTTTATAGAATGAAATATAAGCCACTTTTAGCTTCTCCTCTCTCCTGTACCAGGAGAAGCAAAATATATCAGGCTGTGAAACCAAGAGAATATTGCATGCATGTAAACAGTTTTTTAGGGGTTTTTTTCTGGATTTTTATTGGAAGCTTCCCACCTCCTGCTTTTATATTTGCATTAAGCTTAACTTGCCAACATGACCTTATATAACAAAATAAGGAAAGCCACACATCCCTGACCACTGAGAAAGATGAAAAAAAAAAGTCAGTCTGGAACTGAGTATCTCTTATGAAAACCCTCTTGAGCATTTCTTATGACACACAAAAATTGCAATGGTTTGCAATTGGTGGCCTCATCCCTACTATCTAAAGTAGTGTTAAAGTCCGGCTTTTCTGCAATCTTTGGGCACTGAGAATGTTTTTACAACTAACATAGAAACCTTTGCTGTTATGAGTGTTGGATTATTTGGATTTGGATATTTATTGAAGCAAATTATCAATGTTCTGATTTATTATATAGTCTGTTATTGACTATGTTTATATTATTGTCTTAAGTTTCTTAGAAGTCACATGACTAAAATAGCATTTAAGACTTAGTAATAAATAGGTAGTACATAAAAATGTAATGTGCCTATGAAAAAAGGCAATGGCTTATTCTGGGTTCAATAAATGGTTTTATCATTTTTAGCTGCGATAACTGCTCCAAATGTTTCCTATAATTGATTATTATTTTCTCACAACACAGCAAAAAAATTCATGTTGCAGGATCTCCCTTCATTTCATTCTCACAAAAACAAGTCTGTGAGATAGGCTGGATTAAGGGATTGTAATTGGCCCCAAATTACTCAATACATTTTTATGGTTAAAGGTGGACTTGAACCTATTTTTAAAGTTAATCCTTCAGCAATGTTATTAATTTAAAAATTGTGTTATCTCTTGGATACAGGTATGTATTTATACTTTCCTGCTAACTATTTTAGTACATTAAAAAATCTTAATCACTGTATCCTATTATTAATGTAATTTATCTTTATTGAAAAATATACTGATGAATATTAAAAAATTGTTTATAGCAGGTTTCTTCAAATTTGGCCCTTTTATGACTTGTGGACTACAACTCCCAGCCAGGCACACTGGCTAAGGGATTCTGGGAGTTGAAGTCAAGTCATAAAAGGGCCAAGTTTATAGGAATCTTCAAAATGTATTTTTTTGACACTGCAATAATTAATTACTTTTCTCCTGCCTTGATCTTTGTCCTATTTTCAATTTGGAATTATTTTTTTATTTTTTGCTTCCTGGATACAGTTCTCTCTGGTGGTGTTATTTATATTTACTATATGTGGTACATTACAAGAAGTTAGAGCAGTGGTTCTCAACCTGTGGGTCGGGACCCCATTTGGGGTTGAACGACCATTTCATGGGGGTCGCCAAACAAGGCTGTCCACCATTTTTTCCCCCTTTTCTTTGGCCACGCCCCTGGCACCCGGTGATGTATAAGTGGTTGGGGGTCACCACAACATGGGGAACTGTATTATGGGGTTGAGGCATTAGAAAGGTTGAGAACCACTGAGTTAGAGGGTACGGTTAGAGAAGACACATGTCATGTCACCACCCTTTACAATTCTTTGCATGCTTGAAGACAAAAGGTGCTGACATTTATCAGCTTTTTCTTGCTGCAACAGATGTGAAATTTGCTTGATCAAAAACTCCTTGGGAATTCTACCTGAATCAGTATCATACAGTCTACTATATGCTGTGCTATTAGGATAGCTGCTTAATTTTATTCTACTAATGTAAGGATTTCTGATAATTTTTCTTCCAATTCCACCAAAATATAATGCTGGAACACTTAATAATCCATAAGTGTGATAAAATGCATGCTGAAAGGCATTTCTGAAGCACACTATCAGCTTATATTATGTTTTGAAAGATTTTAGTTTTAAAAGAGAAATGGTTGGGATTATGCTTAGTACAGGTAAAGATACTTATTTAAAAATGACCAGCTACTTTACAAAAATATGTGAATATCTATTTTAAATATTTATATTTTATAATATCTGGAAGTAAATAACTTTTTCTAAGGCTAACCATCTTTATTTAATCTTTGTATATATAGTTGTCTAACTTTAAATTAAAATGATGAAAAACCTTATAGCAATGTTGCTTCTTCAGAATCTGCTAATAAATTTGATGACATTGAAATTGAATTTATATCAGATAATATAATTTTTAAATTTTAACAGATTTTAAATCTGAAGGAAGAATGAAGATAAATCTCTGATGTTGTTAAACAGTGAACTGGTTCCAATTTGCATGTCTTAATTTGGATAGCTAAACCTGCTACAAAGGCAGATGGAAACAATAAACAACTCCAGCAGATATAATTTCCTTTATCTCTGTTTTAACTCTAAATTCTGAAGACCAACCTATAATGACAGCGTGCCAAAACAGAGCCTATAATGGAGACTTTGCTGATTTCCTGGCTGTGATAAATGAAGCAAAAAAATTATATCTATAAAAACTGTAGCCCAATAAGGAATAATTGAGTTTATTTAATTAATATATCACAAAAATCATACAATTCCTAGCAGGTTACAATCAAAATATTAAAAAAAATTATCTCATGATTCTGAATCTTAACCATGCAGCATTTTTTCCTATCTTTAACTAATTCAAAGTGTTTGCATCAACTAGTTCTTTACATAATACAGGGTTAATCTTATCAAATGTATTTATTTTAGGAATAATTACAAGGAATAACTACAAGGAATAAGCCCCTGTTTCTACATATTTTACTGCCCTCTAGTGGTCTACAAATGAGGCAAACTGGTAAGCAAACAAAACAACAATGATTTGTCCCAAAAATTCCAATAAAGAGAAATTTTATTTTCAAAAATTCTAAAAATCATCTCTGAAAATTTACTACCTTACTTTGAAAACTATACTTTTTTATTGTTTTCTTTGACTTAAGTCTATCTAAAAGTTATTCTAACCAAAGCCTGATGTTCCTTTGAACGATCCACAAATGAGCATCCCACTTATGGTGGTTTCATTAAATTGTTAATAACAAGAATATTTTCAATTAATAGACCGTCCATTTTGGAAAACATAATGAACTTCACTAAGACCATAAGACAAAAAATATCAAAAGCAAATGCTGTGAAACAGGAGTTTTACAGTCAGCCAATTATTATTTTTTAATTATAATGTGGTGGAATGTAATAAGGAGGTTGATTCCCAGGAAGGAGGGGTGCATTCCAGAGGAGTAAGAGGCAACTCAGCCCAGATCTTATGTGTGTGAGAGAGGGTGAAGGCAGCATCTCCCTAATAGTTCACAAAGTAAATTGTAGATGCAGATACAAGATTTTGTCTACAGGTATGAAACATTAAAGAACTCAGCTTGGAAGAATCACTGCATGTCATTCTTGGGGCCTGATAGATAAACAACTTTTTAATGCCTGTTAAGGAATCTGAAATACACAGTGGAACATGAAAACAAAAACAAATACTTTTCCTAGATAAACTAATTGATTTGACTACGTGCCATCAAATTGTTTTTGACTATGTGGTTGCTTGGAACTGAGAATAACTTAATGGCATGTAATTAATCAATCATTTCATCTAAGAGCATTCTTAATAGGACACAATCATTATCCTATTTGTTTTCAAATATATTATTTATGGTTAATCAATGGTTTCACTGCTAACAGAAACATCACATATTCTCTCAATTTTTTGAAAAAATTGTAATTTTTTCAAAATTTAGTTTATACGAGTGTGAAATCATCATTTCACAAATGAATGAAAAAAATATGATTCTATAGCAGTGGTTCTCAACCTGTGGGTCGGGACCCCATTTGGGGTCGAACGACCATTTCACGGGGGTCGCCAAACAACGCAGTCCACCATTTTTTCCCCTTTTCCTTAGCTGTGCTACTCCCTTTTATTCTATTGGCTTTTGAAAGCCAATAGAATAGACTCTCTTGAATAGAGTCTAATTCTATTGGCTTTCAAAAGCCAATAGGAATTGTCCAGGCTGTCTCTGCCCTGCTGAGCCCGCCAAAAGTCCCATTCTGCAAACGGTGCTGCACCAGTTGAGTAGTCCTCGACTTACGACCGATTGAGTAGTCCTCGACTTATGACCGGTTGGGGGTCGCATTAAAAAGGTTGAGAACCACTGTTCTATAGGGATATCAAGATCCTTGCCTTTTCCTGGGTTGACTGCAGCAGGCAAACTGTCCCAATCTAGAGCCCATTTAGGGCAAGGATGAGGCGAAAACATTGCTTCAATCCCTTTTTCCTGCATTTCAAAGAAAAGAAATCATCAATTCGTAAATCTGCTAGAAAGTTCAAAGTACCCTATCTGTACAATATAAAGTATTATGCATTAATGATATCCTGATATTAGTTATGTTTAAAACATAGGATTATTATAGACAAATTATGCCCTTGCTTTTATATCTATCAAAGTAGATACCCCAGAACAGATCTGCAGTTGAGCTAGCTAAAATTGGCATTGTTTTCTTACAACAGGAACCAAAACTTCTCCGTTCAAATCATCACTCAGCCATGAGTTACTCTTCAAAATATGTTTCTGCTTTATAAGATTTACAAATTAAGTTTAAATAAAATATTTTTACGACTTTAGAAGTAATTATTTAATCAAGCAAATAATACATTTCTCCTCTTCCATTATAGTACAGAATTTCTAAAGCAACCCAAATTCAACCTATTTTCTGGTTAAAGTTTCACTGTCATTGATGCAGAAGCAAATTATTTTATTTTGCAGAGAATAATTTAAGAAAAAATTAAAAACATTGCAAACATGATAAAATATCAATTCTCCAAACTACTTTTATTAGTTAAGTTCTTAAAACATAAGGAAATATTTTTATAGTTAATATATCTAACCTATAAAATAATTACCTACCATTAATTTTGTTATTGTTGGTCTTGGTCCACCTATAAACTGAATTTCCTCTGGAAAGTTTTCTGGCTCTTTAAAAGCTGAGAAAGTATTCTGCTGGCATTCATTTGGTAAAGGGTATGATCGACAGTTCAGTATATTTTTTATATTGCATTTGACAGTGGCTTGCTTTATTCCAGGTACTTCTAGAACCCTTTTGTACCAGCTCAATACTAAAGGCAGCTGTAATACGTTATTTTGGTGTTTCTTCCAGGCAGCCTTAAAATGATAAATGAAAAGTTTTATGCACCATTTTGATATACAAAGAATGCCTTTCATACTGAATATATATATTAGATGTACAATATATATAACTATGGATTGACGGTTGCAGTGTCCCAGGGTCATGTGATCACCTTTTATGACCTTCTGACAAGCAAAGTCAATGGGGAAGCCAGATTCACTTAACAACTGTGTTACGAACATAACAAATGCAATGGTTCACTTAACAACTGTGGCAAGAAAAGCAATAAAATGGGGCAAACTCACTTAACCAATGTTTCAATTAGCAATATAAATTTTGGGCTCAATTGTGGTCGTAACTCAAGGACTATCTGCATTTTTGTTTCCTCCATGAGATATTTAAAGTAAGCTACCTTTCAGCACTTATCTTTATGCTGTATTTACATTTTACTGACTGTTTTGCTTTTGCAGGGGGTAGAGGGAGGGGGAATACAAGGTAAACTTTTCTTAATTTAATAATTATTTTATTTTTCCTATGGATCCAATTAGGCATTTTCAAACTAAAGTTACCCAGACAGAATATGTTAATTTTGAAAAAAACATTGGTTGGAATTATACTTATGCCTTACTAAATCATCCAATAACTAATGCTGTTCTTAAATGAGTGTTACTGAATGACATTAGTATTATCACTAACGTACAAGAGTTGATTGGATGAACTGCTGTATGGTCTAAATAGAATTAATATTTTGACTTTTATTAAACTGTATGAAACATGCAACTAAAACCCTAACAGAAAAGTTCTGGTGCTGCAGCGTGTTTTTATATTAGAAAATAAGCAGTCATGGGAAGGCACTTACGGGAAAGTTACATATGTACATTTACTGTCATGTATAAATTAGGATTAATTATAGGAAAATGTCTTTATATTGTTCATCCACGTATCAGACAAAACAATTGGTTTCAAGCAGGATTATCAATGAGAATTTATGACCTACTTGGAAAATATTAAAAGTTACAAATCCTGTTTACTCAGGCAGTTGTAGATAAAGGATCTAGAATTTGGATTAAACTGACCTGTAGGGGCAACAGCAATTTTAAACACATTTACGCAGAAATTATATCTTAATAGATTAGTAATTATCAGTCTTAATTTTCAGATCTGTATATAAAGAGGGAAGAGACTATCTATATAGGCTAAAGATGATCAAATCCATGAACAGGCTACAAAGGTTGAGCACTTCCCACAACTTATCATTGCTCAGCTTTTATTTTCAACAGAGATAAATTATTCATTCTTACCAAAAAATGATGGATACATGGCAACAGAACTATGTCGGTCAAAGTGAAATAAAGCCCTTCAGCAAATATATGCTCCAGAGGTGGAAGTTCAGATGTCTTTATTTTCCTAATGTGAGATGGTTCCCTGTTGGTAGCAAGTGGCACCTTCTGCAGAGTTAGTTTAGAGAAAGCTGTCCTCAGTTCCAAATCTGCAGAAGCAGGTTTCTGATTTTCCACAGTCCTCTCTTCTTTTGAGGAAATATCAGTGCTTGCTGTCTTGTCAAGCATCTTTTGCTGTTGAACTTTCTGTCTTCTAATTTTGTCATCATTGTGTACTCTTACAGGTTCCCCCAATTTATTTTCAAACTGCAGTATCTCTTTGGGAATATTCTGACGCTGATTAGGAGACACTTTTAGAAAGTTTTCAACTGCCAGAGGAATGCTGATCTCACAAAGTCTGGTCCATTCGCTAATCTAGAAATAAATAAGAGTGATGCAACAGTTAAAAGTGCTGGATTACAACTGGGAATATTCAGTTTCTACCTCACTTTCAACTAAGTAAATTTAATAGGTGACTTTGGGATAGACATTGTCACTCAACCCAACCGACTGAAAGGTATACAGGATAAAATGAAGGGAGATGTAAATCCTGAGATCCTGGAAAAAATATTGGATATATCATTATCATCACCACTACCACCACCACTGACTATTTAGCCGAGGATTAGTATGATAACCATCAATTGTAAAATGTAAGCATTTTAACAAATTGATTGAAATGGCATACATAAATTATTTGTTTTTGAAGCTACAGAAATAAATCTCTACTCATACACACTGGATCAGATTCAAATGCTACCACTGTGTACCTAAAATAACTCCAAGTATGTATTCCTCAAAAAATAGCTTTGTTTTTACCATGCAACAAGCTGGTTTTGAAGCTGAATTAAAATTCATAAGACTTTAAATTCTAGCATTAAGTCTAATATTCAAAGATAAACAGGACTCTAGGGGATATTCTATGATAGTATAGTTAACTGTTTTATACAGCTTGTTTTAGATATCTATTAATGTGCTATATAGATATATCTTTTGCTTTTATGTACTAGAAAGTAGTTTAGAAATATATTTTATCTTGACTGAAAGCACCCTCTAGATTTCAATAATAAACTCACTTCAGCACAGGCTTTCAAACAGGTCCTTTTAAAGCCCAAGAGTTCCACAACGCCTTTCTTTGATGGATCCGCCTCATAGGTTTTCTGTACTATATACCGCAATACCACAGCAAGCCCTGCACGACAAAATCTTCCATTCTTTTCAACTACAGCAGGTAAACAGCAGTTTTGAACCATCACAGGAATTTCAGATCTTTTGATGAAGCTAATCTCTGGGTATGCTGACAGTATTTCCTCCATCTGTTGCATATCAGAAGTTATTTCACTTGGGGTTACTAAAAATATCCTGAAGTTCTTACAATCACAATATGCCAACAGAAACAAGGATATAGATGTGTGCAGAGGGTAGGTACAGTCTTCATTGTGACCGAAATAGTCTAGATATAGGTGGTCTTCGTTTTCGCTTTTCATGTTTTCCTTAAAGCAAGAAATGTAATTTTAAAAAATAAGAGCTAGAGTTATCTATTTACAAATCAATGTACTATAACCTACAATTACAGTCCTAATGGAAAATAGATCATTTGGTTTTTCTTTACAATACATAAACTAGAATTGATTCATGCTATGTATGGACAGCAATCCAATGCCGAGTTCTCTTCTCTGAAACATTTAGGACTTTTTATTTGTATCAGTATAACACCATTACCTTTTGCTGTTCCACCCTTTATATTACTGGTAACTATCAAAATCAAATTTTAAAAATTTAATTAATTTTTTTTAAAAAACATGGGTATATCCTTGCATATTTCTAGGAAGGTAGAAAACTCATTATTCAGCAGTGTAGTAACATTTTACAACTTTCAAATGGTAATATTTTAAAACTAGATGGCATACCCTCAAAACAATTTAAGTTTAAGAATGTAATATTCTTGCAAAAATGTTATAATGCCATTATAACAAGTCTACTTATCATTTGCAGAATAAGTTTTAATGCTTAAGAGACTTTGAAGTTGTTTATCAGCCAACCATATGGTACACTAATAAGGTGTGAGAGGCATCACACCTATGTGTACACATTACTGGAATAGTAATTTATTATATTGTTTATATATTGTAAGAGCATCTCATTCAAGTGCTATTGGCAATTTTATTATAGATAGGGAATTTACAGCACCTGGGGAGAACACTTATTCACAATATGCTGTGATATGAATATGGTCAGCCACAAAAATACATGACTGACAGATATGACTTCTTAGTCCTAAGGGTGTTCTTTAAATTGAGATTATGATCTGAAAAAATACTGAGCAGTACTTCACAATTTTTATTTTATAAGAATATTCATGGAGGCTGAGGAGGAAAGAGGCGTTTTTAGAAATAAAGAATAGAATGGAAATTATTTATCAAAATTTCATGTCAAATTTATAGCAGCTTGCTATAATTAAAATATCAATAGTACATTATTTTAAAGATGTTTTAAAAATAAAATTGCCTAGAAGTAAGGAAATCACTGGTTTCAGAAGGGATATTTGCAGACACACTGAAGTCAAGGAACAAAGCTTGCTTACCCCAACATGTACAATACATAACTGCCCTTAAACGTTGCTCATAAAACATTTTGTTTTTCAGAACTTCTACATGATATTGAGGTTACAATTCTAAGTACTTTAAATCCCAATAAATGTTACAGCATTTATTCATGAATAAATATGCCCAGAACTGTACAGATGAATAGCAATCCAAAGTATTTTTAGAGTAATTACACTAAATCAACGAGATACACTTTCAATTAAACACAAAGATGTAATACATAGGTACATGTTTTTAAAGCAGGACCCCGTTATTGAATAAAATACTGTAAGGGATTCACTGACTTAATTAGCAATATCAACACTAACCAGTTTCCACAAATATATTTTGAATCACAGTTCCAACATTTTCATTACTAATTCTTCCTTTTTTAACTTAATATTTCATGAACTATGGAATTACAGTTTCTTCCCATTAAGTCTAGGGATATGATCATGTTACATCTATAACTAAAGCCTCAGCTTTTAGATGGTCCTTTACAGCTAATGCATTAATTCCAGTTTTCAGTTAGCTGAAGCTCTCTACACTACTTTTAAACGCCTTTTGTAGAAACAAAGATGTCAAAATCTCAATTAAAAGGATGCCCAAGGCAACTACATTATTCCTTATTTACAGCTGGGTTCCAACAATTAAGAGGTCCCTTCAATAGAGAAAAAATATTAAGAGAATACAAGAAAACATCAGAAAGATATATTTTTTTTTTCGTGTCATTTTTCTAGATTTGATTCCTTGTGATTACCTAAATAACTGTAATTCCAATTTTTCAATTTCATAGTAGATATTTTGTTTGCATTTCTTTCACTTCTCCTACAAATGTAGCAGGCAGAATTGCACAGAAATTATACAGATTTTAATCTGCTGGCATTATACCAAGCTGACTGGTCAGCAACTGTTTTTCTAAGAAAGCGAGAAAGGATAAACTGCAATCTCAGAACAATTATTGAAACAAACTTGAACTGAATATGTGGCCAGCCCTTGCGCCGGGTATCCCTTACCGAACGGCTTCTTGTCCCCCGAAGCTCCACCCCTTCCTCCGCTTTGTCCGGGTTGGAGATCACCGCTTCCGGTGCCAGGCCGAGGAAGAGCGGCCGACCGGTATCGGCTGGAAGCTTCCCAAAGCGGTAACCAGCCGAGGGTTAGGCGCGATTTTGGCGGGAAAGAGAGGACGGCCTGCCTTACCGGGTTTCCGTGCGCCAGAGCGAAGCATGAGGCGTTGGGGGCTTAGGAGTAGTCGCGGGCGAGGAAACGGCGCGAAGCTTTCGATCCGCTTCTGCGATCGCTGCGCCACCGTTGTTATGAAGATGGGGTTTTTTTAGTACTATTGTATCCATGATGGGTAATAAACTTGGCAGCAAAAAAGCAAGGAAAAACGTCCCTTTTTTGGACAATGATAGGTGTCTGGAAATAAACCCATGTTTATTTGGCCCATCCTCTGAGGCAGAACCGTGATCCTTATGTGGTTTGTTTAGCATCTTGTGTCAATCCAACCCGTTGTTTTATTAGTCAGCATTTCTGACTTGGCACAAGAGGAGAATCCAGACCAGCTTTTAAAATGTATTAAGGTTAACCAGGCCAAGAATCAGCAAGGGGAAAGAAATTTTTCCCAGATAGATATCATTATAAAATGATAAATAATAAGGTTTCTGTTATGAAACCTTATATGATGGTGAGATTAGCAAAAAGTACAAATAGATAAAGTGGCTGCAGTTGCATCAGATTGTAACATTTGACAGATCATCAGCAATCTTGCCTTTCAGAGTGAAGAACAACTTAGTCATATTTCAGCCATTCTGTAATTGAGACTTTTAAAAAGCTTAATAAGTGTTCAGATTCTGTGGCAGCTCTCTCATCACCGCAAGTACAGATGTAAGATAAAATGCATAGAAAGTAAATTTTCTAGATGGCAAGACCAGGTGTATTATATGCATATTTCACACTGATGAATGCATTATTCCCTCTGCTGTTGCTGACTGTAACTTCCAGATGAGCCTTAACTGAGCCTATCCTAGATTCTGAAATTAACACCAGGTTTCTTAAATTGATACAATCAGAAATTGTATATGAGCTGAAGAATTAATTGCTTGCATTCATTTAAGCCGTAAAAAGTAAAGTAATAGAAGAAACCTGCATTTCTTCAAACAACCTGAAATGATTTTACCAGTGTAACTATTTCCAAACCCTGTTAAAAACATGTGAGATATGAAGGCCAAATGCATACTTAAAATTGACATTTTCCTTTCTTTTTAATTAAAGATTCTACTATGGCTGCTACTGTGAATTTGGAACTTGACCCTGTGTTCTTGAAAGCTCTGGGCTTCTTGCATTCAAAGAGCAAAGATTCTGCTGAAAAGTTAAAAGCACTTCTTGATGAATCTTTGTCTAGGGGAATTGATGCATGTTATCGCCCACAACAAAAGGTACTGAAATTGATGGAAAAATATGTATGTTGTCTCACATGGCATATACTGTAACAATAAATGAGACCCATTTTGATTTAGAAGTTAAAGGTCCCAGACTAGAAACAGGAGACTGTTGGTTCTAGTACTACTTTAGACACAAAGCTAGTTAGATAACTTTGAGCCAGTCATGTACTCTCAGCTGTAGGAAGGCAAACCATTTTTGAAAATCCTCCCAAGAAAACTGCAGAGACTAGTCCAGGAAGTTTCCAGGAATCAATATTGTGATTCAAAGATGGATAAATAATGTACCCTGCCCTATGCCATGTTTTCTGATCTTACCGATCCTATTCAAAATATACTGTACCCATATTAAAGGACCTGGTTTAAGACAAATCATTCTGGGAAAAAAATATGATAGGTCTATTTATTACCTATTTCAGAAGTAGATCTGGTTTACATATGACACTAGTCCATCAAATGTTTTTTTTTATTTTATTTGGCAAGTTTTTATTTTATTTGGCAAGTTCTGTGAACCCAGCCATTTTAATTTATTCATAAGAATCTGTGTATTTTATGAGTTTTACTTATAATATTTACTCCAGTTTTACTCTTAATGTAACATTTTGTGCATTTTTTAGGAAATAGATCAGCCCAAAGTATCCATTCCAAAACCAGTTTCTGTTAAGACCACTCCTAGCCTCCCTACAAGTAGCAATAATGGGAAACCCACTGTAGTTGAAAAGGTGAAAAAAGAAATGGAAAAGAGAATTGTGGATAAGGTACGTTTCTTTGTACACTTTGAACATTATACCAATTCCTCATTTACTAACCGAGTTCCAGTTCAGCAATCAGATTGTAAGCAGAATGGTTGCTAAGTAAACATGAGAGAGAGATGCTATAAAAATCACTGGTTGCTGCCTCCTCAATCACGCACCCAAATTGGCCTGAAAATGAATGTTTTATTACCATTGTATTTGCAAATGATCAGTAAATGCTAAACAAGAAGTGAGTGTACTGGGAAAAGAGATTCTGATAATATTGCATATTTTTTAAAAAATTGCTAGTGTTCAATCAGAGGTTCTCAAACACACAAATCATGCACATTTGTGAGCCACAAAAAATCCATAAGAGCACCTCAGTGAGCCAAAATATATAATTGGAAATGCTGTGGACCTAGAATCCTGTTCCATGACATCACTAATGGACTGTCTCTATTTCACACCCTGGAAGTCCCACTTATAAGATACATGCTATGAGATGAAAAAGACTGAAAACTACTGTTTTAAATACATATTTTGTTTTGCAAACTATGTCTTTGCCAAATGTTACTTAACAAAAGTTAATTTACTTCAGAAGTATAAAATGTGCTTTCCTCTGCCAGTCATTTAATTTTAAAAGGGTGTTCTTCTCTTTTTTACAAGTTATTTTGTTGCTTTTCAGTGATTAGGAGAACACGTTTCGTTACTCAAACTATATTTATTTAGTCTTTCCTTGCAATTTCACTTTGCTATTTTAACAGCATACTTTCAACTTAATATATTTTATCTGTTAGATAAAAGTGGAAATCAGTGAAGGAATTGACATTGCAAAAAAGCCAAGACTAGAAAAGCCAGAAGCTCATGCTTCATTAATCACAGTGCAGACAAGCAAGGATTTGGCTATGGCAGACCTTTCTAGTTTTGAAGAAACCAGTGCTGATGATTTTGCAATGGAGATGGGTCTAGCTTGTGTAGTTTGCAGGTAAGTTTTTTGATTTAATATTTATAGCATATATGAAGACCACAATTAAATATCTTGATATTACTTGTAAATGGAATCTTTTGTCTAAATAGAGATCTTGACTCCTTAAATAATTCTCATACGTTGTGAGATCTAAATACTTTTGATTTCTCATATATCATGGGTATCTAAAGCATATCTGTTAGAAGATGTTACATTTCATGGCAGTGAGATTATAAATACAAAATTCATAGAATCATCATTGGATGGAACCATATAAGGCCACTGAGTCCAAATCCTAGGGAGGCACGGGAATCCAAATTAAAGCATTCCTCACATCCATCATCTAGTATTTGGTCTACCAACCAAAGTCTTACCTCGTGTTCCTAAAACCAATTACTACAGAATGAAAACTGCTTACTTCTGAGTAAAAGCTATGTAGAATCATATAATCTGGGATAATTTTTTGCCTTAATTTGGTTTTTGTAGCAGCAAAAACCATCTATATGTTCACTCTAATTTTGCTATTAAATTAAAAACATCTTTTTACCTAGCCTTCTGGAAATAGTTTCTATGGATACATATGTATCTGTCCAGTAGGGATACATTTTATGCAACTTAGCAATTAAGTAACCTGGTTTGTTATCTAAAAATAATAGCCATTAGGGAAATGGTGTTTTGCTAATGTAGTTAAGGTATATTTCCATTGGTATATAGGATTAATATTGTTACTTAAATGTTTCCAGTAGAATAAAATTTAATGCATATGATTTTCTTACTAATGTACTACAGCCTTATCTGATGTAGTCTTACTCTTATGACTTAAAGACCTAACCTTTCTTCTGATTCAGTAGCTATCTTCTATTTATGTTTAATGTATAAGTTGAAGGAATATGATTTGAACGAAGTCATTGCACAATATTTTAATGCTGTATTTGTGCTACATTTCATATTATTTAAATATTTTAAAGGGTCAGTAATTGTCTTACTTTGATTTCATTAAACAAAATGATGCTAGACTCAACAATTTTCATATACATTTGTCTTGCTATGGTTCTGTGTGCTTTTTTCTGTTATATCGAGTGTAGATATGTTGTTGTCCAAAATCATATTTGATTTTTCATAATTTAACATTTAGAATTCCCAATTAAATATATGCTGCAATTGGGATTTATTTCCTTTTTTAATTAATCGGGAATTGGAAGAGTGTTCACCTTGCTTTTGTTGATCTTTGGTCATTGACCATTCTGGCTGAGACTACTCAAATTGCAGGTCAGCAACATTTAGAGAGCAACAACTTTTTATACATCTGCTTTGAGTTAAAACCTTCAGCTCATGATTTTGTTGACAATTTTGGTCTGTTTTTCTCTTGGTTTGCATGTAACTAAGATAGGAAGAAAAGAGCATATCTTCCTTCTTATCTACCAGGAACCCTGCCTCGTCATAAATTCCCATGCACCTTTCATATATGCTTAAGATGATGGCGCCCAGAGTCATTTTGAACCACAAGATAGGTGGCATATAAATTTAATAAATAAATGAAATTCTAAAATAGCATAATAAATTTTGGTAACTATAATGTTGCTTTGACTTATAAACATTAGATTTTATGCTGACAGGTAATAAACATTATACCCATTGATAAACGTATGGTAGACCTTTGTTTGAAAGAACCGGGCCTAAGCTTGCAGGTTTGTTAGGTGGAATTGGAAAGCACTAATTTGGCCTCCATTGCTCATCCTGTGCATATCTGTCCATCTTTTCCAGTTTCACACTGTTGTGATTTTGTAGCTCCTCCTAATTCTCTACAGCTAAAGATACAGAATCATAGGGCTGGAAGAGATCTTGAAGGTCTTCTAGTCCAATCCTCTGCCCGAGGCAGGAGATCTTATTGCATCCCAGACAAATGGCTGTCCAATCTTGAAGACCTCTAGTGATGGAGCACCCACAACTCCAGGAGGCAAGCAGTTCCATTGATCAATTGTTCTCAATGTCTGGAAATGTTTCCTTTGATCCAGGTCGGATCTTTCTTTAACAAGTTTCTACCCCTTGCTTCTTGCCCTGCCCTCAGGTGCTTTGGAGAATAAGTCGACCCCCTTCTCCCTGTGACAGTTCCTCAAGTACCAAGACAACTCTCCCATCACACCTATTACTTCCCTTGGTTAGACTAGACATGCCTCGTTCCCTTAACTATCATGGTATAGTTTAACCTCTAGACCTCTTATCATACTTTTGCTTTTCCCTGCACTCTTTCTAGTGCATCTTTTTGGTATTGTGGCAACCAGAACTGGTTGCTGTATTCCAAGTATGGTCTCACTAGTGCTGTGTAGAGCAATACTATCACATTTTGTGATCTTGATGCTATCTTTCTATAGAGACAAATTTGTAAAAAGATGATTTTTTTCATGAGGTTGTTTGAAGAAATGACATTTAATTGACTACTTTGTGTTTTATAGACAAATAACAGTGACTTCTGGAAATCCATTAGTGGAGTGCCAGGAATGTCATAACCTCTATCACCAAGACTGCCACAAACCTCAAGTGACAGACAAGGAAATGAATGATCCACGGGTAGTGTGGTATTGTGCCAGATGTACCAGGCAAATTAAAAAAATGGTAAGATTTTTTTCTATATCTGTGAGGAAATAGTAATTTATTTAAGGAAGAAATTCCTTAACTGACTAGAAAATAAGATCAGAAAGAAGAATAGCTTGTTTTAATAAATTCGGTTGACAGCAACCGGGTTCTTTTTTCCTAATGTTGTTTTATTATAAAATAAAAAATATCCTTAAAATGTTTTGAAATATGTTGTTTTGTTTTTAAGCTGATGTTGGCTTGATTTTAATAGTTTAATATAGCCTTTACAAAAATAGTTACAGCAACTATATTTTTTAAAAAATAAAGTGATAATTACACTGGAAAAATAATTCAGCTCAAAAGGTTTATGCTAAATCTGATTCACCAACCCATGTTCTTAAACCCAGTAGTGATGATAATTTCATAAACTACTTTAATAAAAGACTGACTTTTATTGGATCAGGTTAATAATATTTAAATCTCATAAAAAATGAGGTACTTTCCTATATTGATTTTCCTGGAAAAAAGGCTTTATTTTCATGTAAACTATTGTTGATTTCACATGTAGAACTTATTATACCTGTATTGGTAAAATTGAGATAGAAGAAAAACCTTTTTATTATTAGAAAAAACACAGAGTAACTTTTTTTAAAATCAAAATATGGGAAAATTTTTCAAAGGAGAGTTGAACTCTTGTACCTTCATTTGGAATAATGTCACGTAGAATATTTTGTTTAATAAGGTCTAGCTTTTTTAAAAGCATAAAATAATTTCCCCTGTCCTCCAACCATCATATTCTACCAGCTAATAAACTACTGTTCAATTATGTAAATTTTATAAGGTCTCTATAGATGCCTTTGGAATTAATAGTATAAAAACCAGGTATACTGTAGGTTCATATTTTTTTCTTCCCATGTCAGACTTGGACAACAAGCTGATTGGTCAATTCCTGTCACAATAAATGGATCAACACTTGATTGATATAAAAAAAAATGGACCTTGCACTTTGGGAAAATTCTAGGAAGAAAAAAAAATATAATAGTAATACATTAGGTTGTTATATAAGATCTCATGTACATCTCTTAAGTTCCTTTATTGTGATTTGTCAAATTTACCTACTGAAAAGTTTAGTAGATACAGGTAGTACTATTAAAGCAGAAAGCTATTGTTTCATATATACAACATGTAATTTACATAGGCTCAGAAAACACAGAAGCCTTCCCAGAAGCCAGCTCCTGCTGTAGTGTCAGTAGCTCCAGCTGTGAAAGATCCATTAATAAAGAAACCAGAAATTAAGCTAAAATTGGAGACTACACCAGCCTTCCTAGCATTTAAGAGGGCAGAAGTTAAGGTACTGTGCAGAGTGTACTGGAAAATATTTATTTATTGATCGAATTTATAGGCATGTTTTTAGTTTAATTTTGTTTTTCTAATGGGGAGTATTTTGTTTTACTAACATTCCTAACCTCATATTATCATCCTCCACTTACACTTAGAGTTCCATATAAAATATTTTTATTCTTAATTTTGTTCCATTTTGTTAGTGATTTTGAATAAATTATATAATTTAAATAACATTATCAATAAAACTATATTTAATAAAATTTTGTATTTCATTTTAAAACCAGAATGCTACCTGTTGTTTTCAAAAATATTTATATTTATTTCTAGATTTAGATGGGATGTAATAGAAATGTTATCCCTTCAAGTTTGTAATTGTTCTTTCTTTTCATTCATATTAAAGTGAGACAATTACTGTAGTAGGAGATTTGTCTGTATGGGAAATCACATTTTTATACCTAAAAGTTGTATGAAATAAAATAACAGTTTTAACAATAAAAATGTTAAAATTAAAATTAGTTACCGAGTGAAGGAAAGCAAAAATTACCAAAGGAAATAATTAACAAAGTTTGTGCTAAAATTGCAGATAGTTCTTGACTTATGACCATTTAATGATGGTTTGAAATTATGACGGCCTTCAAAAGTGACTTACAACCTATCCTCAAGATTACAACCATTGCTCTTTCCCCATCAGCCAAGCAAAATAAAATGGAGAAGCCTGTAGTTGCTTCTGCTATTGCAATTTAGGAAGCTTCTAGACAAATTCCGGGGCCATGGCCCTTAAGTTTCCTGAAAGTTTGAAAATATCACTGAATGCAGAACTAAAATAAATGTGTTACTTTAGGTAAAAAAAAAAGTGATAGTATTTTAAACCAATTAACATGCAGGACACATGGGTGAATTTTCTATGCGTTCTTTTATATTTGTAATAGATAAGAGAATTCTGAATCAGTTTGGTAGGATTCTGCCCTTCTCATCAGAATTAAAAAGTGCAATCCATCTTTTCAACTTGTGCCATTCAGAAAACACTGCTTGCCTTCATGCCAGTCCTAATAATTTTAATGAGGCTTATACAGCACCATTTGTGGTTGACTGTATCAAACAATTGCAAATAACTTTGATGGAAACCTATACATGTACTATGGAAATCTATGTACTATTGAAACCTATACATGTACTATTAATGTGCCCTATTGCATCTAAATGCCTAAACCACTGCTATTTTGTCCCAATAACTACAAATTATATTTCTGAGATCCATTATTTATTTTCATGTTAAAAATAATTCTTGATTAAAAAAACCTTAGGCATGGATCATTGAGCTATTGCAGGCATGTCAAACTGCCGGCCCACAGGCCAAATGCTTCACACCGAAATCGCGCCAACTCCACTGCTGGCACGTCGTCACGAATTTGACATGCCTGAGCTATTGTAAAGTGTACATGCAAGAAAAAAATTGAAGCTGTGGTGGTCGGTTTGGAACATTAAAGATATTAATGTACTTATTTTTGTAGTCTGAGCCTTTGAATAAATATTAGAGTCCACTGAGTTTTTCATCTAATAATGATAGGAAGGTAAATGTCTGGCCCTTTTGCTTTGCATGTTGATCTCTGCTCAATTGCATGTTAGGTAACACTTGTTTCTATTTGATTTTAGACTTCGGCAACAATTTCAGGGAACTCCACCACTGCCAGTGTTTCCTCCTCCTCAAACAGTGGCCTTACTGGATGGGCAGCTTTTGCAGCAAAAACATCTTCTGCAGGCCCGTCAACAGCTAAGATGGGGTCTGCCACCCAGAGTACCGGTGGGAAGCCCGCCCCTGGCTCAAACAATCAGAAACCCACTGGTTTGTCAGGGCTGGCCACAACCAAAGGGGTAGGGTCAAAAATAATATCTGCCAGTAGCACAAGCTCTGGCCAGTTGAAGCCATTACCACCTCTGACATTGGGTAAAATGGGTCTCTCTCGTTCTGTGAGCAGTGACAACGTAAGCAAAATAGGCCTTCCTAATGCAAGCAGTTCAACCCCAGGCAACAGCCCAACTATTGGTGGAAATGGCAGCAATGTGGCAGCAGGGAGCAGCGGGAGCAGCAATAGCAAATCAAGTACAGAATCGGGCAATCAGTCCCCATCGCTGAAAGGTCCAACTTCACAAGAATCACAGCTCAATGCTATGAAGAGGTTACAGATGGTCAAAAAGAAAGCAGCTCAGAAGAAGCTAAAAAAATAATAGGTCTATTTTTTTAAAAAATAGATAATGCTATCAATAGTTTAGTCTGCAAAGTGCAAACATGTCGTTCAACTCTAGCCAAATACAGTAAAATCAATGATCTATAAATTACTGTTGTGTTTTCGTTTGTCACCTGTGTATGTATTCACAAGAATTCATATATGTGCTGTCTGCTTCATCCTTGATATTTGCTGGCAAGACAATGTCTTATTTTACAAAGAAGTTACACATCTTTCCAAAGAATATCTCACATACTGTATATACAATCTCTTAATACCAAAATCTTGTCTCCCTTTTCTTTTGTGCTCTATAGAAGTCAAGTAAGCTGATGTTTTCAATCTGTTTGAAAATTAAACTTTAACCAGCATCTCCAATTGTTTAATTCTGGAAATTTATCCAAAATAGCTTACGAACTCTTGGTCTCATGAGACAAAATTTCAGTGTACAATATTTTTAGCCACTTGCACAATTCAGGTACTTCTGGAAGGCAGATCCATGTTAATAATTTTATATGTAAAGTATCTCGAAAGGAAGTGATTCTATTCATAAAAAAAAAAATTGGGCAAAGTAGGAGTACCCAATTTAGAGGCTACCTCACTAAGCTGCATCATCTGCAATAAGTCTGTCAAAAAGCAGAATTAAAGCAATATTCACTTTTGACTTTCTTCGCTGTTTCTTCATAGAATGGCAGGAGATATTTAGAACTTTGGAGTTAGGTTTATGGTAAAAGAAAAATCAGTGCTGCAAGCATTTTATTAGTCAGTCATAAAAATAAAACGTATGTACCACACAAATAAGGTGTACATGTCTGTGTCTGGAGATCAGAAAGCAATAGAACGTTTAATCATTTATGGAGTATTTGCCACCTTATCATATGAGGGATCACTGAAAAAGTCTTATTGTTGAAATTCTCAATCCAGCAATGAACATATGAGATTGATATGTCCCAGGATAATGTTTCAGGAGCCAATCGGGGTCGCTCATCGAACCAGAGATTTAGTCTTCCAAGCTTTTAGACTTGTGCTGAAGATTAACACTGATTCTAAAGACGGTTTGTAAATTATACTTGCAAGATTGATCTTAGAGACCATTTATAAATAGTTTCTTGAACTCTCTGACGTATATACTTCGCCAGTTCTTAATACATGGGGAATAGCATCAGATTTAGTGACTTGTATTTTTATTTTTTAAATGATTTGGAAATTGCCTAGGAAGATACCATTTATCATGAATGAAGGAAAATATATGTAACTGCTGTCCCACTCGGGCACACACATAACTGGATTAGTGAGTTTATTAATATTCCCCAGCAATTCCCTTTGCCAAAACCCCAGAACTGTCTCAAGTCCAGCCACAAAAAGACCAATGCTAATCCACAGATCAATGACCAAAGACTCCACAAGGCACTTGAAAGTTTCTCAATCAAAATAAAACCACAAAGCAAACTTAAATCCACAGTACAAGAGAGTTCACAAGGCAAGAAAAGTCCAGAGTTTCCAAGGCATGATCCAAGTCAAGGCACAGTGTTGGTCCAAAGTGAGGCAGGAATCACAATGACCAGAAAACACAGCTAGGAAACAAACATGTTCCCAGCATCACCTGCATCTGTCTGCTCTGCTAAATAGCTTCCCATGCAGCCCATCAAGAAGAGCGAGGCTTTCTCCTCATGGGTAATCTGGCTGACCGTCTCTACTCCTGCCTTTTCTCTGCCTTACCTGTTCTTGGACCAGGAGCAGAAGGCATTTTCAGCAGAACTACAGTTCTGAGATAGCTGTTACAAAGTAATATTCTGTTGAAAGGTCAGCAAATAGTGCATTCAGTTCTTGAAATCTTCACAAGCTTAGATCTAGAAATGTCTTGCATAACCAAAAAGGCACGTCCATGTGCACGAAATCTCCAGTGAATTTTCTCAACTTCTCTGTACCGCTTCAGTTCCTTACACCTGAGTCTAAACTGTTTCTAAGAGTATTTAGAAACCTGAAAACATTCTATGGACAATATACGGTTCTTCTTGCCCATTCCTGATTAATTCACAGATCTACAAAAGTCAAACTCTTAAATTTATAGTTGGCATAGCTAGCCGAGTTGGATTAGTTGTGTGTTGGGCTTTCACAGCAAAGTTCAACAAGACATCTTGTGGCACCTAAAGGACCAACTGGATTATTATGTCATGAGATTTTTGTTATTATAGGTGGCTTAACATAGCAGTCCCCAACCTTTGCTGCTGGGCTGGGGGGAGAAGGGAATTTGGCCATGTGAACCCATGAGTAACGGGCCAGCACGCACTCGCATGTGCATAGCTTTACTTGCACAAGTCAAGCGTGTACATGCTCGTGCAGCCCGGTTCCAAATAAGCCGCGGCCTGGTAGTGGGCCACTGCCCAGAGGTTGGGGACCCCTGGTTTATCAGATTAGTTCAATATAATTAAATTTCTCATAAATCTGTGGAAGGCATTACAAGAGGTCTTGTCCAGTCCAGGGTGACAAAAGTTGAAAAGTAAAAGCAAATGCACACATTCCATCAAAAATTCTTCTTCACAAGTACTTCAATTCCGGATTTTGAAAGCTCTTAGCTTATTGCATTTTTTAAGGCACAAAAATTCAGGGGTGATAATATCACAACAAACGTCTTCTGTTTCTGGGAATTTGTTCCGTGAGCAATCTGATATTTACGTGTATGTCATCTTCCCAAGATAATTAGCTGGCACATATCCTTTTTGTCCTTCAACTTCAGCTAACCACCATTCTTTGTTGCCACTCTGGTCTGAAAAACGAAGGATTTGAACTCTCTGATATTCGTGAAGACTGAGTTCCTGTTTACTTCTTGCTTGAAATGCATGAACAGCATAGAAAGTCTAAGAGGAACGAAATATAAAAGAGAGAAAGAGAATGAATGAACGTTCAATTCTATTCCTTATTTCAGTGAAAAACGGGGAAAAGCCCAAACAGCAAATCAAGCAATATCTTACTTATGCTTGTTTCTTTAAAAATCTTGTGTCAGATTTGGAATAATGTGTTTGAGTAATGTCACTAATATTAGGCCCAAATCCCTAAATTTATAAACTCTATACTTATTTCCCAATGAGATAAGTATGAAGCCATGAAACAGTGGCATATTAAAGTTATCTCTTGGGTCTTTGAATACTTATCTTAATGCACCCTGAGAACTATAAAACATGACATGCTCTAACTTAAAATGATCCTGTAGCAGTACAGGATCAGCTCCAGATTTGGAAAAAAGCAAGACCTAGACCAGATGTTTTAGTAGGCCTACTTATTTGCCTTTTTCATAACTGGTCATTTGCACATCATCTTCCTTTGAGATCAGTCTATACAAAAAGAGTTGGCAAGATTAATAGATGCTGTAATTCATTTATCTGGAGAAGAAAAATGAACTGGCAGCTATAATTAGGAAGCCCTGAGCAGCAACTAACTCATCCCCTCTCTTTTTTTAAAAAGGACTCATCAGGAAATCATGCTTACGTGTTGCTCATCCGTTTCATAAAAGCTCTCCAGTTCAGAGCCATTAACAGATTCTTTTTCACACAGACTATTATAGGAAGAGTCACTGCCATTTCTTTTGTGCCCTGTGGGTTTTGAACTGTTGTCATCCAGTTGTCGTGAAGAGACAAAAAGGCTGATGTTATCAAAGTCACCATCACAGAAATTGGTTTCCCCAGCATTTTGTGGTGCCTTGGCTGGTTTATAGGGTTTCAGGAAGGAAGAATAAACGTATCCTTTAAGAACTATACAGAGGGGAGAAAAAAAGGCCAAGAGTATCAAAAGGTGGATTTTTTTTTTTATCTTAAGAACCTTCAACTATTGCAAGTTGAGAGAGAGAGAGAGAGAGAGAGAGAGAGAGAGAGAGAGAGAGAGAGAGAGAGAGAGAGAGACTGACTTCTGGTTCTGCCTCGTAGTGACGTAGCCGATGGATTGCAGAGCTCCACACGCCTAAATAGGTGCGAAAGTCGCCCCAGAAAGGCGATAAAGAAGGAGGGGCACCCCGATGATCGCGGAATGACAGAGGTCTATCCATTTGATCCAGCGGAAGCCAAGAGAAAGGCTACCTGCACATCAGTGTCTAGCCCAAGCTACCAGTAGCCGAAGTTCAAAAGCACAAACCAGCATGCTTGGAACTGGGTGAGAATATCGATCTTCTCTCTTCTATTTTGCAATTGATTCCCTGGAAAAGATCCCCAAAGCAAGAAATCCTCCAAAAATGAGAAGGGAGGGGATTCTATCCCCACCCTTCCATAGACGGAAGCGGTGATTTAATTTTTACAGGGGAAAGAAATATACTGAAATGAAATTAGCAATATTACAGTCTGGATAAATCTTAAAATTAAGAAAACCATTAAGATTTTACATCTGAAAGAGTTTTGATGAAATTATAAAAAATAATTCTTTGTTTGAAAAGTTGGAAAATGAATAATTACTGATATCTAGTGGAGGATTAGAGTATACAACAATAGCAATACTGACTCAGAAATTGGCAAAATGCCAGAAATAAAGAATAATCTGTTCCCTTCAACCTTAGTGACCTTCAGCCAAACAGAAAACAGTTGGGAACAAGGAAAGAAAACATACTGAGCCATCTACTATAGACTGAGAACTATATTTGTTTTAAAAACTGCTGACCTTCTGGGATTATAAATATTTAGTGAGCTGTGATCTTTAAGCTCAAGAATTGTCTGCAGAAAAAGAAAGAAAAATTGGAAGATTAGTTAAGATGATTTTAATATCTTATTTTGTTTTAATGTATTTAATTATTGGCCATTCACTTTCGTTGGACAATGGATAGCATAAACAAACAAGATTATTATTTAAGTCAAAAACCTATAGTCATTTAGGAATAGCAATATAGAAAAGGAAATAAGAAAATAAGAGGTGAAGCAGTGATTAAAAGTAAGTGTCCATTAACCCCATATTTAAAATCAAGAAGGCAATGTTAAAGTCAAGTCTCTGCCGCTAGGGCATATCTAGGCTGAGATGCAATGTGAAATACTTACTTCCAGTATCAACAAGCCACCTGCTTGTACAGTCAAAAGGATCCTTTTGGTCTATGAGAGCCACCACCTCTCCTTCATAAAGATCAATATCCAATTCCTGTGTGGCATTGCATTTACGCTTGGCTTGGTATAGCAAGTCCACATTGTACATAGAAAGTAGCATTGACCTGTGGACTTCTTTCTGACGGGGAAATTCAGTCTGGAAACAAAAAGCTGTTTCAAAGAACTAATATACCATGGAACAGCATGTTCATTGTTAACTGCAATTTTCTACATAATAGGATTTCAGTCCTGGCCTGGTTTAAAATAATAAAAGGCTTATTTAATTATGATTTGTCAAATAAACCACAATTACCCAAAGCCAAACTCAAGTTCATCAAGTTCAAAATCACATTATAGTTTAGTCCAATGTATGAATCCACTCTTATTATTCACATACTTATACTTGTTCATATTTTTGAAGCTATAAGATTCGTCTTCCACAAAACATCATATTTGTCTGCTTCTCTCATTTTAATACCTTCATTCTGTCAATATATAGCATTTGAACTTATCGTTATCCTATAGTGATTCACATTACAAGGCTATTCTTTAGAAATTAGCTATCCATAGATAATACTATTTTATGACAAATTGTAAATATACATCAAGAATTAGTTACTGTCTCCTAAGCATCTGATATTGTTTAAATGACAGCAGGTGGAAACTGGGATCCATACATCTCCAAAAGCGATGCCTATTTGTTAAACTTGTATCCACTTCAGTGCAGTTACTCAGTCATGGTTTAGCATGTATGTATTTAGCCATAGCAGATTTTTGGTTTTAGACAGTGGTGGGATTCAAATATGTGAACAACCGATTCTCTGTGTGGATGCCACTTCCAGAAGTCCATTCTGGGCCTGGGCAACATAAAATTAGCTACCGGTTCTGCTGAACTGGTACAAACCGGCTTAATCCCACCACTGATTTTAGAGTGTATCCAAAGGAGATCTCAATATCTCTAGATTGAATATAAAGATGATGAATCTCTAGGTTGATATAATTACTCAGAGTTTAATGACAAATTACATACCTGGAGAGAGACAGGCCTCTTTTTTTCAAAACTTAGCTTTCTTTCAATAAAAGTTACACAGTGGTTTTCCTTGATACAACTCAAATTGTGAACATCTTCAAGAACCTGATCCTGTATTTCATTGATACTTGGAGAAGATTTCTGCAAATTATAAAAGAGCCTCAAGGTTACCTAATTATTCTGCAGCTTCAAGTATGAAGAAGCTTCTACTAAGAACCTTATCTCTATCACAATTATAATAGACACGTATTAACACTTTGTAACTACATGTGCTTACTACCCAGTCTGCAAGCACATTTCCAGGTTTCCAAAATCCTAGTGCCTAACTGATGAGCTGTGTTTGCTATATCTCCCAGAAAGCAGTTAGGGAAAGAACTAATTGTTTAGCTGCATATTCATTTTAATTCATGCCTTATGGGGAAAAAAAACTTTTTTGAGGCAATAGTGCTGAATCAGAAAACATTGGATAGCAAAAGACCCAGCTGAGCAAATTTAAATGTCAGATGCAAGGATGTGCCCCTTCCAGATAATACAATCCCCTCTGCTTACTTAACTGAAGCTTAACTACCAAAAGGATGTGCAGAGAATTGTTCTCATAATTTATTAGCTCCTGGATTTAAATACGGTGTGCACCTTCCCTATAGGAGCACGGTGGGTCAAGTGGTTGCAATGCTGGGCAGGAGGTTAGCTAGCCCATGTTCAAGACCCGGGGGCTGCTGTGGTGCAGGGCTGAGTTCTCGTCCTTCACTCCAGCTTCTGCCAGGAACATGAAAATGAGCTCCAAACTGGGCTTGCCCAGGTCAACAGTGATGATACTGGCTAATACTTTCAACCCAGAAACACTTCAGTGCTTTTAACTCAGGGTGTCTTCAAGCTTGGCCCTTTTATGACTTGTGGATTTCAACTCCCAGAATTCCTCACCTAGGCACGCTGGCTGAGGAATTCTGGGAGTTGAAGTCCACAAGTCATAAAAGGGCCATATTTGAAGACCCCTGTTCTAACTGGATGCTTCTAACTTTCCCTATAAACAGAGATCAGTAACTCATGGGCTGTAATTTACACACAACCACCCAACTTCATTTAGGTCCCCTTTTCCAAAGTCATCATTTTGTCAGCAAAACAAAACAAAAATTATAAACATTTCAGCTTTTGTTTTGTTTAAAATGTGACTGATGTGAATGGGGACAAGTATCTTCTGGGAGACCCTCCATCCCATTGATACCCTTAACCTGAAAAAAATCTCAGAGGCAAAAATGACCTTCCACGTTTTGGTGACATCACTAACCTTCCTATGATGCCTTTGAAAATGGAAAGTGCAGACCCAATCTAAAGAAAACACTCCATCCCTATCAACATTTCATCTACCAGCAATGTAATACCACTTTGTCAAAAATTCTCCAGGATTTGTTATCGTTCAGTGGGATGAAGGTGAATTTGCTTTTCAAATTTTCTTTCAGAGACCATCAATTCAGCTAAAAAAATTGCTGGTTTAAAATGTGAAAAACAATTTGAATTGCAAACATAAAAAGCTTCCTTCAAAGAAGAAAGAATTACAACTGCTTTCAGCAGGGTGCTAGTACCTCTGGTTTAATTGCTAGTAACTGGGATTCGTTGGTTGAAAAGGATTGTGATGCTGATGACATCATGTCTTTCAGGAGAGCGATGAGACAACACAGGCAACTGGTCACAATTTTCTTTGCTGCTTCATTGAATCGCTGGAGCTCCTCCACCAGCTGAGCATTGAGGGCCTCGTATTCTTTCCTGGCCAGGTCAGTATCATCCCCTGAAGCCTTTTGATACAAGCTACTATAATCCAGAAGTTTGTCATAACGTTTTTGGATGAGCTTCTGGGGGCTGAAGAAAAGAGCCTGCAGTGCAGTCAATGGAATCAGCACCAACCTATCTACTTGATTCAGCTTCATGCATTAGAAGAAGGGAAGGCAAAGGACACATATCAGAGCAAGGAAATCAGCAACATTCCCATTTGTTAAACAACATTAGCATCACTTTGACATAAGGATGGCATCTCAGTCTTTACCTCCCATATTTCTAAGCACACTCAAAATGCCTCCTAGTTGTGGGCTACAGATAGCAGTATGTTGGCAAATAAGGTAGTCTGTATCTTGCATATATTAGCCTAAGCAAGTGAAATTGGACTTTGTATTTGTGGCATTCAGCCAAAATACAGGTAGTCCTCGACTTATAATATTTCATTTAATGACTGTTCAAACTTATAATGGCACTGAAAAAAGTGACTTGTGACCTGTGGTGGGATTCAAATATGTGAACAACCGGTTCTCTGTGTGGATGCCATTTCCGGAAGTCCATTCTGGGCCTGGGCAACAAAAAATTAGCTACCAGTTCTGCCGAAGTGGTGTGAACTGGCTGAATCCCACCACTGCTTATGACCGTTTTTCACACTTATGACTGTTGCAGTATCCCCTTGGTCATGTGATCAAAATTTGGACACTTAGCAACTGACTCAAATTTCAGACAAGCAAAGTCAATGGGGAAGCCAGATTCACTTCTTAAAGCCAGATTCTAAGCTATCTTGCTAAAAAGCATTATGTGAAAGTCTGAACTGAACCCTGGATGGCAGCAGAGATCAATAGCTGTGGGATCATATCATGAAAAGAATGCCACATGCGGGATTGTAACTTAAAGTATAAGAGAATTATATGGCAAAATGCTAAGGAAGGAAGAAAGGAAGGAAGGAAGGAAGGAAGGAAATGTTCTGTGTACCCAAGGAACTAAGAGAAAGGACAATGTATCTGAATGAAGATAACCTGTTCTCATAAAGTTAGTGAAGATGTTTCAGGATGTGAAATAGTAAATCTATTTATAGCCAATATTTGCTAGTAATAAATTATAATAATAATAATTTAATGATCTAGTTTAGAGAATCTTGCTAAATTCCTGGTTGTCTTAGGAGGATCAATTTAGATAATGAATAATAAGGTGAAACCCTAATTCAAAAATATAGAATTTTCCATGCCATAGATTTAAGTTACAAAGTTTATGTTCAGGTGTAAAATTTACTGGATGAGTCACATTTTCTGTTTGAATTCATCTTGCCAAAGTTGTTGCAAGAATAAAGATGGGAAAAGACATACTAGATTTTCTTCCTTTAGAAGACCACAGCTAGATGGTTGACATGGCTTTTATCCTCCAAACAGCTATGTGTGGTGGGTTATGGCCTGACTCACCAAATAAAGTTTGTGGCTGAGCAAGATTTTTTTTTTTTTTTAAAAAGTGTCCCTAATCTATATACATTATTTACATTATATTCATTCTCAGTTCATTTCTTTTGAATCATTCTTCTGATATGGAAGACTGGATTTTGTATATACTTAATGTAAATTGGAATCTATAGTAACTAGGCTAAAAAAACAAACTGTATTAGATTTGTTGTGTAATATATGCACCTTTTTCACAAAATCCATTTCCAATCATTTTAAATCTATATATTCAAGAACTTACAAATAGTTTGCTGGGATGCCCAGCATTAATCAATGTGTCTGAAGATCTGTTTTCCCCTTTTTCGTTCTCATGTATCAGATCCTGAAGATCACTTATGCACTGTGCTCCGAGAAATACAGAATTCTGAAAAAAAAAAAATGAAATGGGCAAAAATAATGTTACATATACTCACAAACCACCACTCACATGTATACTTGCTCAATAATATTTTCAGTAAGAAGTCAATACTTATTTATGAAAAATCTGCTTGCTAAGCACTTTGCTGTAATATTTATAAAGCTATGTAGATAGGGATGTTAATAATCCAATTTGCCTAGTATTCATGAAATGTGAAATGGCTTTTTGGGTAAGTATACTATATAAGCATACACAGTCAAACCTCTAACTCTGTGTGTGTTTGTGCGTGCCTTCAAGTTATTGTTAACTCCTGATGACTGCTTGGACTGGTCTCTATAGCTTTCTTAGCAAGACTTCAGAAGTGGGTTGTCATTGTCTGCTTCCTAGGGCTGAGAGAGAATGCCTGGCCCAAGGTCACCCAGCTGGCTTAGTTCCTGCAATAGGACTAGTTTCCCAGTTTCTAGCCTGGTGATTTAACCACTGGTGATTTAACCACAAACTGCCTCTCTAAAGACCTAACTAGAGAAGCAAAAACCAAAAAATTGCAATTCATCACCTTTCATTTTGTTTCTTCCTGTGAAAATGCAGGGAACAGGAAGTGGCAAAGATGATATTCAAAGAGTACATGTTAAAAGCTGGTAAACCAGTCCTTTCAAAGATATTAAAACCACAGTGTTATTCAAATGAGTCCATCAGACCAAGCAAACACCCAGTCATCTATAGTTTCATTTCAGAAGTTTGGTGGCTATATAAATCATTTAAATAAATATATTAATAATGATAAATTCTGAACTAGATACAAAAGAGATCAAGCCAGCCAGAAGATGGTGGTGGTCTAAATGAAGATCAATATATCTAGAAAACTTTTCACAGACACAGGTTAGGAATATAGGTAACCAAAGCAGGGTTAAAAAGAATGTTGTGTATCTCAGCTTTTAATCCTACTTTCCATATTTCTTTGTAGCTAGACTCTAGTGCGGTGACTCTGACTTCGGCAGAAGAGTCTTCTCCAGAGTCTGCAAATATGAAAATGATCCCTTAGATGAGGCCTAAAGCATAGATCTATAAAGAAATTGACTGGAGCCTTCAGACTTCAAATGGAAGATTATTATTTTTAAGTAGTACGGTACCATTATTTTAAAGCTCTTTGCAAATGAAAAAAAATCCCAATAGAAGAAGGCATTGTTTTATTGATCTGCTAATGTAATTGTTGTCATTTATTTTAAAAATTTAAATAATTTATGCACTACATAAATAAATTATGTAATACATAATACATAAATCTGAAGATTTTCTCAGATTATTTCTTGTATCCACCATTCAGCATTTCATACATCTCAGGCCCAAAGATTTATGGTCTGATCTGCATATTATAGTAAGCCATGAGTTGCTTAACAATTGTTTATAACAACTAAACAAACCAGAATTGATTGTGCAACTATTTTTAAAAAATGACTTTCCATATTTTACAAACACAATATAGCCTTAAAATGTACATTTGCCAGGAGACTCACTAAATTAAGTTTAAATCTTCATTTAATTATCTGGTCTGAGAATTCATTTCAAAATACTGTTTCTGACATTTTTAATATGGGTTAAGAGGAGTGCTTCAGAACTTTCTTCCCATCTGTGAGATCAATTTAGAATTTGAATCAGGTTTGACCGGTCAAATGTTGATTTGCAACTTTTGAACAGTTAGCACCAGGCTTGCAATATTGTTACATAACACTTACTTCTAAATGCTGAAGAGACAATGGAATATTCTTCACACATAGTTTGACCGTCTTTTCTAAGCTTTTGAATAACTTCTCCTCTTTATTAAAAACTTCATCTTTCACCTAAAGCCACAAGAACATTATAGTTAGGATAAGAACATAATTGCTAATAGTAATGTCAAAACGTCTCAGGGTTCCTCCCTAGTGGTCTGCTGAGGCATCTTCATATAACACTAAATAACAGTTTAAAGGAATGTCAAAATATCTTCACTACCATTCTGGTTCCATTTCTTTAATTTCAATCCTGTGGGGTCCTGGTTGCTCTCTGAGCTTGATGGTTTTCTTGCAGATCTTTTATTACCAAACTAGTGGTGCACTGAGGACGTTATCTAGTTTGGTAATGAAATGTCTGCAAGAAAAAAAACTGAGCTCAGAAACCAACAAGGACTCCACAGTTCAACTCACTGCTACTGGTACAAATATTCTCTTCCATCAATTTCAGGTTTCTTCAACATTATCCGAAAATGAATATTGACATGTTTTATAGGCAGGCATTTTTAAATTCCCCTCATTGTATGGGAGCCTTCATTGTGTTAGCTGCCGAGAGCTATTTAAGCGAGATGGACAATTGTATAAATCTCATAAATAAATGAATACATCTTTTGAATAAATAAAAATATTATCATAAAAAACAAGGGAAGGATTTCTGGGATTGCTTTCATTTACTTCATGATATCTGCCTGTGGGGTCTTTCTGTAAAACAGTAATTTTGCGCTTTCAGTGAGCAAATGTGAAATTGGTACGTGACTTTAGCCTCATGTTCACTGTCTTGTCCAAAATAGATCATACATGCACTCATAACCTTTTGGAATGCTTGCCATTCGTACACTACAAAACACATCTGTTAAAAGTTTTTATGGGGAAAAAAAAATCCTGCTAGGATTGATAGAATTTACTTTGCTAGACAGAAAAGGATCAGCAATTGATTAAAGAAGTTAGAAGTTGCTGCAAATGTCAGCAATGGAAAATGTGACCTGAAATAATAACTTAGAAGAAAGAAAAATAACTCCACCCTAAGATGCTTCAATAATATTTGACAAATGTTGATAAAAAAAAACTCAGCACAGAGAATATACTCTTTATTGTGGGAATGTTATCAGCCTGCACAGAACTTTTTGGACCATATCATTCTGCGCAGCTGATAAGAACTGGCATGGAATCAAGATCTATGAATTTTTATTGTTAGTTCAGATTTCTGAATTTCATTGCAAACAAGTAGAGGATCAGAATGGCTGCTGTTGCATGTAATAGTGTCAATATTGGTTGAGATGGAGAAGCAGTTAGCTATGCTCAAGGCAGTTCCTCTATTCTTAAAGCATTGATCCAAATGTGAAATAGCTTTGAAATTAATCGAGCTGCCAACTACAATAACCTCATATGAAGCCCAATTTTCATTTATGTACTGTGTGCTAAGACCTCCATCTAGGGCAGAAAATTTCACAGACTAGTTTGTTTAGTACTGGCTTCCTATTAAAAGATTAGTACTAAGCCACAGAAAAATGCAATTGCTTTTTTTGAAGTCAGATACGTTTTGAAACTAATTCTCATCCATAAACAGCACATACTTATGAAGTCAATCACAGACCCTAACATAATATATATTTCATGAGTACTTTACCTTTTACCAATATAGATTATTTATTTATGGCCTAGTAAGCTACTGGTTGGCACCCCTTTGTTAATGAGACTAGTTGAGATCACAAAGCAAAGAATTTAGCAAGCATCCTGATCATTGTGCCTAATTTGTGCATAATAGAATTGTGACTCTGGCATACAAAAACATTCTCATTAAAGTAAATTATGTACTCCAGATTTCTTAACACCTTGATAAATGCATGGGCTGTTGATAAAACCTGTTTTGGAATGGGCAAATAGTAAGGACATAATAAGAAAAAAAAGGAAGGATACCGCAGGAATGAAAATGCTTAGCCCTCTGATCACTAACCCTCTTAAAATCCCTGTCAAACAATGGCTGGATTCACATGTTGCACTAAAGTAAACCATAACAAAGTTGACTTAGTTGTTGCTTAAGCATGTTGCATGAAATCAGCCACTGTGGATTTTAAATTATTGATGTGAATAAATCCAGCAAATGTTTGTTGATTCAAGAAATCACACCTAAACATGCCATAATTTAGTGTGATGTGCAAATACAATGAGTGATTACCTGAGGTTCTCCTCCAGTCAAAATCTTCAGGTGACCAGTAACTCTCTTGGACTTTTTACTAATTGAGTGAATATTTAACTTTGAAAATTTATCCTTTAAAGATTCGTCTTCATCATTCTTCTTATACTTAAGCACTGTAATCAGACAAATCACATTAATAGTAACAATATGTACTGATAAGGCATCAATGAATTCCTATCTACTTTTTTTTAATGCTATCACGGATTAGAGGGGGGAAAAATAAATGGAGGCTACAGCTTGTTCTACTTATGGAAAGAAGAGATAATTAAGTCCTTATGGCCACAGAAACTTTTAAAAAGTTTAATTTCACTAATTGTTCCTGCCATTTTCAATAGCAGCCTTTGTTCTATTGCAAAATGCATATAGATGCTTGAATTCTATATCATGTGTTTGCAATCTTTAGTGAATCTATCAGGGAGAAGCTCAAATATAACAAGAAAAAATGCCTAGCTTTATGATATGCCTTAAGCAAATGCAAGCATCTAACACTGGAGCTATAGCATTTTTTTTAGCCTTCTCATGCAGTATGACAAATAAGATGGGAAGAAAATGTGCCTTTTGGTTCTGGGATTTAATTATTTTTTTTGCCTATGAATAATCATATATTGTTCTTTATGAAGAACAATAGCCCAAGGCAATTCCTATATAAAGAGACAGGATACCCATGAACTCTAGATGTAAATGCAGAAAATGTCTATCCCTGCAAAGCTAGTAATTGTTGAAAATTGAATTGTGAACCAGATGAATATTACTTTGATCCTACAAAGAACATGCTACAATATTTAAAGGATCCACTCAAATATCATAACCACTGCCTATATTTGGATATCTCTGTAAACTATTTTCTCATAATATGAACATACTTAGCTTTTTTTAGGGTTATGGGTCCTTACCATCTCTTCCTCAAGCATAGCCAGTGGGAAGAGATTTTGTTGGACTTCCAGGTCTGAGTTGTGAAATTCCAAACAATGTGTTGCTGGATAGAAATAGGGAGTTATAGATAACCCTAACTATTTGCTGTCATCTAATAATTGTATAGATTTTTGCAGCCCTACTTTGTGATCAGATAAGATTCTACATAGGGCATCCAAATACAAGACATACATATCCAAAACAAGCTAAATGCAAAGCATAGATTATTGTCATATAAAGTGACTGGATAAGACAATGCTGGATTTACAAATCATATTAATACAAACTGGTATTTAAGTTTGGTTTCTCATACTATATGAACCCAACTATATGATATATGACTGGACACCATGTATGAAACCAGCCAATTTTAATTTGTTCAATAGTTAAGCAGCTTAGGACTTTTGTATAACATTTAAAAAAGGTCTTTGAATCCTGGTCTTATGTCTCACTACACATTTTGGGCCTAATAAACTAATGTTGATGCATTCACATTTCTTTCAGGAATGCTTTGTACAAGGCAAATGAATTATCTTAAATTTTAAAACTTCATGCTAAGTAGAATTATTGTGGCTTGAATTTGGGTTCCTATCATGTGAACTTAATATTTCTATTACAACAATCTTTTCTGTAGTAGTTAGTATTACATCTGCAAATGTGTTTGGCAAACTTTCCCTATACAGAACAATCATTCTGAAATCAGACAGATATTAAACTGACAGAATCACTTTCCTAAAATTAAAGGTCCCATAAAATAAGAATCCCACAGGAACAGGTTCACTGTCTGTAATTCCAAATGCATTGCCCATATGTGTCATAAATCAATCCATGGCTTAATTTGTAAATAAATAATGAGGTCAGGTCTTTAGATGAGCTCAAGTTAATGTGGAATGAACAGCCATCACAGGAAAGACATTTCAGTTGTATATCTAAGCTTTAGCCAAAAGAAAAGTGTTAGATTCGCAGGTTTGTGGCATTAAGAGGAGACGCATTGTGTAAACAAGTCTTCTTTATTGTTCTCTTCCATAACCAGCAACAGCAAAAATGGTGCGCAGGCCTTTTATAGTGTCCAAACCCCGGACAGCGTCAGCCAATGAAAATCTGGCTGTTTTCGCGCCTTGCGCATGTGCGCAAGGCTGGAGACAGCCAGTCTGGTCCTGGGCAGCTTTTAGTCTGCCCGGGACCATTTGCAACATTTCTGAGCCTGCTGGATGCTTCAGCAGGCTCAGGACATAACAAAAAGTCCTAGTAGATTCAGTCAAAGATTTATTTGATCTAATATTCTGTATTTCACAGTGGCCAATCAAATAGATTGAAAGTTCACAAGAAGGGAAAGAGGAGAATGATACTCATTCCATAAGTACTTATATTTAAAACAAAGCTGCTTGCTGCTGCATACAAACATACAAACCAGTCCTTACAGATATCCCATATTACTGACTTTTTCTTACCTATATCTTTTCTCCTTTTAAGTTCATTTATATTCATGTTCATATCTTTCATAGCAAGCAAGGCATCCTGAAGTGCTTTGTGGTCAGGGTGAGACCTGGGAGTTGCATTCAAGAGCTCACATAATAACAAAGGATACTTCATTACACGTTGTATTGGTTTGATCATCAGAGATCCCATGTCTAGTAGATTTGGTTTTCCCCTAGAATTTAAATTAAGCCATGTTAAGTACAAAAGAGAGTTCGTGCAAAATAGGGAAGAAAAAGATTGTATTTCCTTGTAATAAGTTGCTTTCACAATAACCCCACGCTAACCGTAATTCTTACTGTAATACACTTAATGGTGGGGAAATGTTAGCATGAATGTTTGATACGCCTATTTCTGCAATTGCATTAGCATCTTTGTTGTTTAATATGCCAAATGATCAATATCTTCCATTGTCATGAATTTTAGCAGGAACAAAAATCTAATTCCCTTCTGTTGTAATTCTGAGTCACCTACTTTTCAATGACTGTGCTGTCATAGCACACCAAACCACAAACTAAGTACCACAGTTTAGTTCAGTATAGTATATAAAGCCAGCTTTTTGGCTAAAGGTAAAGATTTCCCTTGTCCAGTCATGTCTGACTCTAAAAGGCAGTGCTCATCTCTGTTTCTTAGTGAAGGAAGCAGCGTTTTCCAAAGACACTTTGGTGGTCATGTACCTAGCATGACTATATGCTGAGGTGCATGGAATGCTGTTACCTTCCCACCAAAGTGGTACCTATTTATCTACTCACATTTGCATGTCTTTGTACTACTAGGTGAACAGGAGCTGGGGCAAATAACTGGAGTTCACCCCATTGGGTCTCAAACCCAGGCTGTCAGCTTTCCAGCTGACAAGCTCAGATTCTTTAACCACAGAGCTATCCCACCTGCTAACTTAAAGTGGAAGCTCACAGTATTTGCTTAATTCAATGAATGATAGTTACGCTAGCTGTGGATAAGCAGATTGCTTAAATACAGCTGCAAATGACAACAGATATTGTCTATTTATAAAAACATTACTTTTTGGAATGGTTTAACTGGTTTAAAGGCTATTCCTGAGCTAATTTCGACCCTAGATTTAATAGCATTTGTGGTGATTATGCAGAGCTTAGGGAATACTCCCATTACAGTGATCAGAGACTTCATTTTGCCAATCAGGGCTTTTTACCATTTACTGTATACTACCACAAAACTTCACTGTATCAGACTGGAAATAAAACGTCACTTGCAATTAATCTAATATAACTAGTACAATCAGATTTTGATTCTTTCTATTGGCAAAGTAAATTCATTTAACAATTGCAGATATGTTTCTTTCATGACTTGGGAAGCCTTGCTTGTTTTCTTTCTATAAATCAGACTGTCATTATGGTACAAGAAATGGACAGATTACTACATCTTTTGCAATCTGAGTTTTTCTCCTGTGGGAGTTTGATTACTGAACTCTATCCAGCAACCCAAGATTAGATTAGATTAGATTAGATTAACTTTTTGCCCTTCCCCGTTGATTCAGTGATTTTACTTTTTAAAGTTGGAATTGCTATTATTTTTCCCAGGTACACATCTTATCTTTGTAGGGTCATTTCCTAAATAATACGGCTGCAAACCATACTAGGAAACAACAAAATCTCAGATGTTAGTGCAAGCCACTTATTTATTTATTTATTTATGAGACTTATATACCGCTTTAAGTGCAAGCACTCTCTAAGCGGTGTACACCAGTAAGCAATGTATATATATATTTACATTGCCCCCAACAATCTGGGTCCTCATTTTACCTACCCCGGAAGGATGGAAGGCTGAGTCAACCTTGAGCCGGTGAGATTTGAACCGCTGACCTGCTGAACACAGTCAGCTAAAGTGGCCTGCAGTACTGCCCTCTAACTGCTGCGCCACCTCGGCTCTTTATATATTTATATATATATGTGTGTGTGTGTGTGTGTGTGTGTGTGTGTGTGTGTGTGTGTGTGTGTCTTCTATATTATCTCCAGGAAAACTCCATGAACTACAGTACATGTCTATGAATTCATCAGAATTCAAGCTCAACTTGAAGGAGACTTTACTTTTTGAAAACAAGCAAACAAACAAAAGGACCCATGCTGCAGAATAAGGAAATTAATTTCTGCCATGAACTCAGTTGTTTGAACAGAGTTATTCAAGCTAGATTTGACAGCTTGGGGGAGCTCCTACCTCATAGTATAGAAAACTCTGTTTCTCTGTTTAAACTAAAATGCAATAGATTTACACAGAAGGATTCTCATTTCTTTGTAGCAGTATATGTGTCTGCCTGCCTAAATGACTCAAAATTATTCATAGGATGTCATAGAGCTATTATTCTGCTAATCACCAACATACTGTCTTTGCTATGAGTTAAGGGCTCTGGATAGAGCTTAGAGAAAAGGGTTATTGTGGAGCTGAAACATCTACTAGACAGATGTGCAGAAATCCACATGCCAAAAGGCTTATTAGGATTTCCAAAAAAAAAAAAAAAAAAAAAACAACCCAGAACCTGTTATTGTGTCTGGATGCTTGGAGGTTACACAAATCCCCTGTATCTAGTCCAAACAGCCCCATCCATATATTGTATTTTGAAAGCTAATGAATTATTGACCAATTTATAATCTGTGCAACTCAGAGCTTTTGGTATATACTTTGACAATGATAAAGGCACATAAATTTGCAGAAATTCAGCACAAGTAATTTAATGCACATCTGCTATTGGTACACCTAGGCAAGATCTCTCTTTTTTATTTTGATGTTTTTTATATAAGCACAACCTTAACCTCATTTGTTTGAGACAAACGCTTTATTATGCCAACTCAGGATCACAAAAATCTTTTTAATTAAGAAATTTTCATTGGCCAAGGAAGGGTAGGTCAGCTGTTGAAACTGTGTCTGTGTTTTGTTATAGGACAAGCATACCTCTATATATTATGGCAGGTCACAAACAAGTTCCATTCATGACCAGTGGTACTGCACCAATAATGTTTAGATTGAATTGGGTAACATTAATTATATGGATGCTGTATTTAGAGTTCAAAACTATACACATCCAATCATTCAACAACCAACAAAAGGCTGGCTTTACAGAAGCTGTTAAACCAGAACATGCTTCATTTATTTTTTTGGCTTTTGTATGTTGTATGAAGCCAACAAATTGCACTTTATTAAATAAATCTTGTTTAAACCAGCATTGGATGTAGAGACCATGAGCAGAAGGCAACAAAATGACTGAGAAAGAGAGGAAGTCACTGGAAACATAGCAGCTATTCCCCTACTATCTTTGACATCAGCACTCCTATCATCAACATTCCCCATCACTCTTATAGCAGCCAGGCTGGACTTATGAACAGGAGGAGAATGTGGACAGCAAGTCTTCACTACCCATTTGCTAAAGACCTGAAGGCAATTTTCTTTATCCTCAGGCTATTAATACCCTTAGAGGTAGAGCTCCATGTAGAGCTCCATGCATAGCATGGCCCCATGGATGTTTAACACTATGAAGGAAGGATTTTGAGGGGGCATGAAGATGTGAGAAGGTAGGCTCTTTTGTATTTCCATAGCATGAGAGTGAGCAAGTTGACTTCATCTAGCCCTTTCATATACCGTATGAATGTTGGATTAAGATTAGGTTCTGTTTCTGATCTCCTTCTTTCTTGTCTATCTTTTTACTGAATAAGAGTTTTTTGCTTGATTATGTTCTATCAAGTCATGGTGGCTCAATGGTCAGAATGCAATACTACAGGCTATTTCTGCTGACTGCCAGCTGCCAGCAGTTTGGCAATTTGATTCTCACCAGCTCAAGGTTCTGAGGTCCGTAAAGTGAGGACCCAGATTGTTGGGGGCAATATACTGACTCTATAAACCAGTTAGAGAGGGCTGTAAAGCACCGTGAAGTGGTCTATAAGTCTAAGTGCTATTGCTATTGCTATTTTTAGTCCTCAATGGACTACTGTATGTGATACTCCTCACCATATAGATACTGTAGGTTTTCTGAATGAACTGCCCCTAACCTGCTCAATTTAATGTTTAGTTTAGTTTAATGAAAAGAGGGATCGGGGTGACATGATAGCAATGTTCCAGTATCTTAGGGGCTGCCACGAAGAAAGGGGAGCCAATCTATTCTCTAAAGCACCTGAAGGCAGAACAAGAAGCAATGGATGGAAACTAATCAAGAAGAGAACCAACCTAGAAATAAGAAGCAATTTCCTGACACTTAGAATAATTAATCAGTAGAACAGCTTGCTTTTAGAAGTTGCTTCAGTGCTCCATCCCTGGAGGTTTTTAAGAAGCGATTGGACAACCATTTGTCTGAAATTGTATGTGGTCTCCTGCTTGAGCAGGAGGTTGGACTAGAAGACTTCCAAGGTCCCTTCCCACTCTGTTATTCTATTATACCATTCTAAGTCCATCCACCCTGCTGCTGGCCATAATCTTCTTTTCTTCCACCTTTACCACAATTATAGCCTTTTCCAGTGAGCTGGGTCTTTGCATAATGTGTCCAAAGTAGGATAATTTGACCTGTTCATTTGTGCCTGCAATGAGAACTCTGAATTGATTTGTCTGACAATCCATTTGTTTGTTTTCTTGGCTGTCTATGGTTTTCTCAATATTTTTTTACTTTATTGATTTCCCCCAAAAATGGAATATAATAATATATTCACAGATTTATGTACATAACATCCAGATCTTATTATACATATAAATAGGTTTCACAACTAGCCATCCCAGATGCAGACCAGTGCTAGAGTATTCTATAGGTAGTCCTCAATTTATGACAACTGTTAGGACTAAAATTTCTGTTGCTAAACAAGGCAGTTGTTAACTGAATTGTGTCCAATTTTACAATCTTTTTTGCTACAGTTAAGAAAATCACTGGAGTTTTTAAGTGAATCACATAATCATTAAATAAATCTGGCTTCCCTCATTGATTTTGCTTGTCAGAAGCTGGCTGGGAAGGTCAAAATGGCAAACATATGACCCTAGGATGCTGTAACCATCATAAAAACACACTATTGCCAAGAGTCTGAAATTTAATTACATGACCATGGGGATATTGTAATAGTCTTAGATGTGAGGCCTGGTTGTAAATCACTTTTTTTCAATGACATAGTAACTTCCAAAGATTACTAAATGAATGACTGTAAGTCGAAGGCTTCCTGTAAATATATAAATTGCTCCTGTTTGGGAAATGTGCCTTCAATAACTCAGAACAAATGGAAAACATCTGAAGTATGTGTGTTTTCCTTCGCTGAACAGGGGCAAAAGAAAACCAGTTTTGGGACCAGCAACAGCAAATTTAAGAAGCTACAAAATCCACAACATGGGAAGAGGGCATTTTTCTTAAAAAAACCCCACACATTTAATCCAACATGCGGAAATTAAGTCTTATTGATTCATGTACCCTACACTTTTCTATATTGTAAAACGTTGACTATTTTGCGTTGCTGAACTTATGCTTAACCAAAAAGTATTTTCTAAGAACCATATCTATTTTCAGTATAGAGTGACGTTCCAGGATTAAACATTTAGTTGACTTGCTTTATGTAATTCTTTGTTTTCTATTTTTTCAAACAAAGATAGAAAAGTCTCAAATTTAGATCAGGGAAACTAGATCTAATTTCCTTTCAACCATGAAGCTTACCAGATAATTTTGAGCAAATTGGGCATTCTATATCCACCTACTGTAGTTGATCTCAAAGCTGAAGATAAATTAATAGAAATGGACATAAATGAGGAATTTGGATGAGAATGCCAAAACTGTAATACATCTAAATAAATGCATAACTTACCCTTCTTCATATATCTTTCTGCAAAAAGAAAAAGAAATGCAAAATCATCAGCAGTCTCTTAAGAAAAAAGAATATTAGTAGGCTGATCAGGTATCTCTGTTGTTTTTTTTTTTGAGCCAGTGGGCATTACGTATTTTGAGAACTGTTACAGGCATCTAATGAAATGGCTACCATAGAGAATCTAACCAATCACAACATACCAATTTTCCAGAACTCTTGAAATTATTTTCCATGACACACAAGCACATCTTTAGTCTCCCAGATGCATTCTGTCACCTCAGCTTACCTTTGTATTTTTTTCTTGGCAGATAAACACACATCCTAATAAAACACAGGCTGGAGCCACCCACTGCTTTTATTGTTAAGATGAATAAAAGAATATATAAAAGAATAACAATACAAGAATAAAGTATTTATTGTTAAAAATAAACCTAAAGGATCCATGAGGAATCCAGAATCCGTATTGCAGACCCTAAGTGCTTAAACCAAACTACATCTTGATTCAGTATTGCTACAATAACTTTTTCAATATTACATATCCCTTCTGATGGGACTTACTTTATGGGTGGCATGCCTATTTAATATTCAATAAAAAAATGGATTGGGCTTTTAAATCTCATATCTTAAGAATCTCTTTACTTAGGATTTGGAGAAAATATTATAAAAGTGATTTCAAAGTACCATTATGGGCTATACCTTGGCATGCGATAGAAGCAATAAAAAGAGGGGTTAAAATGGATATGGTGTCTTACAGACAGTTACTTAAATGGGATGGACAAAACTGGCAATTAAAATCACGGGAGGAGTTAGCACAAGAAAACTTTATTTATTCTTGGTTCCAATATAGGCAATTATTAGACAGATGGAAGATGGATTGTAAGGTGGTTTTTCTTAGAGAAGATGAAAATCTTATTAAGCAAGTGAAGGATTCAAGACAAACCCACATTAAGAGAATTTATGCGGTTTTAGTTGAATTGGATTCAGAAACGGAACTAATTAAAGATTGTATGATAAGATGGGCGCAGAATTTTGGTGAGCCAGTCTCATTGGACACCTGGGAAAAAATTTGGGTGAGAAATGTCAAATTTACACAAGCACAGAACTTAAGGGAGAATTTTTATAAAATGTTTTATAGATGGCACCTTGATCCACAAAAAATGTCTTATATGTACCCTGACGTGCAACCCAAATGTTGGAGATGTGGTGATAAGGAGGCTTCCTATTATCATATTTGGTGGTCATGCAGAGAGATAAAAGCATTTTGGATCAAAGTATGGTGGAATATCCAGAGAATTTTTAGAAGGAGGGTAAAATTTACTCCGCAATTATTTTTGTTAGGTATTGTGACAGATTGTGATACAAAGGAGGTTGTATTGATGTTAAATTTGATTACAGCCGCTAGGCTGTTAGTAGGACAATATTGGAAGAAGGAATCCTTGCCTACATTGCAGGAATGGTTTCTTAAAGTAGCTTATCTGGCGGAAATGGCAAAGATCTCGGCTTTCTTAAATCAACAAACGCAAGAGAAGTTTTTTGCTGTTTGGGATAAATGGATAAAATTTATACAATTTAGATTGGGTATACAAAAATATTATATAGTTTTTTCATAAGTTTTATTTTTATATATATTATAGATAATCTCTTTATATATATAAATATAAAGTTTTTAATTTAATTTTTATTTTTACTTTTTAAGCCTATATTCTGCTCTGGGAAGCTCAGGGGGGGGGAAGGGAGGGGGGGGTTTTTGGGAGGGGTGTTTTGTTTTTTTTTTATATGTATTGTTTAGTTTTATTTTTTTTGTATATGTTGTCTCTTGTTTTGTATTCTTTTTTCTTTTTTGTAAAACTTATAAAACTTTTAATAATAAAAAAAAAATATTACATATCCCTTCTGGCACAATCGGACTTTTGAATCTTCCCTTCAGTTTTAGATTCATCACAGTTTGACATTATATTGTAATGTTTGGGGATAAAATAAGGAGAGGGGTCTATTTGTCTGGACCTGAAAAAGGATGAGACATTTAACAAACAAATAAATAAATATTAATTAATAAATAACTTTCAAGTATTGCTTTGTTGAAGAACAACTGGAGTATTAGTTGTGCAATTTTCTAAGTGTGTTTCACTTTATTGATTCTTCAATGAATTATTCACTTCCAATCTACTTCATGAAGCAATACATTCCACTTGCTTCTAAGAGTCAAGCAAAGCACCTACCCCTGTGGCTTCACTTCACTGTCTTGTATGAACTCTTCCAAAAATTCCAAAATCTGGAAGAGGCTGATACCCATGTGCTTCCATTCAATTGCTGGAATTCTCACAACCGCAGTAAACAGAACTGTGGTTTAGTACTTAAACATATGAATTCTTGGGCCTTATTGCATGAATAATAAGGAAGCCTATTCTTAATATTCCATTTCTGAACTTCTGAGGAAGAAATGGTGAATTAAAAGAAGCTCTGCTAAAAGTGGAACCAATAACTGCAATGGAATGAAGAACTGGCAAATAGAGTGGCTCTTTGTAATTCCTCTCTGGACAAGGAGAATACCTGAAATCACCCACAAGTTCTCCTTAGAGTTGCTCCTTGCAAGAAGACTGCAAGACAGTGGTCTTTGGCAGCTTTATTGCTCTGAGAGACAAGGGAATACGCAACTTGCTCAACCAATGGTTGGGTGTATATAAAGTTGGTGTATTTGACTAAGATTAAATAAACAACTTGTTATCTCTGATAATCCTGGACTTTTGCTGATCAGTACTGAAACAATGAAGCTTTAAGGATTGTTTAGAGATAAGATATGGGATATGAGAAGAAGAGATTATTTGTTGTATTTTATGAGAAAGTGATAGTTATTGAAATGGTTTATACTTGTGAAAAAGAGTAAGTCACTTCTTTATCTTAATAGTAATAGTAATAATAATAATAGTAGTAGTAGTAGTAGTAGTAGTAGTAGTAAAGTTGGAAGGGACATTGGAGGTCATCTAGTCCAACCCCCTGCTCAGGCAGGAAACCCTATATCATTTCGGACAAATGGCTGTCCAGTCTCTTAAAAACTTTCAGTGTTGAAGCATTCACCGCTTCTGGAGGCAGGTTGTTCCACTGGTTAATTGTTCTAACTATCAGGAAGTTTCTCCTTAGTTGCTTCTCTCCTTGATTAGTTTCCACCCATTGTTTCTTGTCCTGCCTTCAGGCGCTTTGGAAAATAGCTTGACTCCCTCTTCTTTGTGGCAGCCCCTGAGATATTGGAACACTGCTATCATGTCTCCCCTCGTCCTTCTCTTCATTAAACTAGACATACCCAATTCCAGCAGCTGTTCCTTATATGCTTTAGCCTCCAGTCCCCTAATCATCTTTGTTGTTCTTCTCTGTACTCTTTCTAGAGTCTCAACATCTTTTTTATATCGCGGTGACCAAAACTGGATGCAGTATTCCAAGTGTGGCCTTACCAAGGCATTGTAAAGTGGTATTAACACTTCACGTGATCTTGATTCTATCCCTCTGTTAATGCAGCCTAGCACTGTGTTGGCCTTTTTGGCAGCTGCAGCTTTTTTTTTTTTTTTACTGTTTTCTATTTTTCTTTTCTGTACTTTATGTTTTATTTTTATTCTTTTGTTTTTTAGTTTGTATTAGTTTTTTATCCTTATAATAATAATTAAAAATAAAAAGTAATATTATATTTTTGCTAACACTTTTAATTCTTTGAAACCATGCAAAAGGAGCCAAGAGCATTAGATAAATCTAATCAAGTAACTTCTTGAAAAAACAGTCCTTAAAGGGAAGACTCTTAATAAAGCAAACTGTTGAAAATATAATCCCCCTCCAACTCTCACATAATTTACTCTCGCATATGCTTTGAAAATGTTTTTTTAGAAAAAATCTTACTTCAAGGATTGTAGACAATCTTTTATACATTGTTTCAATTCCTCATCCTTTTCATAGAATTCCAGAAGAAGGTGAGCATCATCATGATGGTAACAGTAGATTTTGTATGCTTCTTCTAGTACATCTTTAATCTGTAGAAATACCTGACCTGGGAAAGTCAAAAACATACATATAAGCCAAAACAAAACCACTGTCAGATGATACATGGTCTCCCTTAAATCTGTAAAGAAATATATGGTCTCATGTAAAAGCTGCAGGTCATTTATGATTGGTCTTGGAAATTCTGCTTTCTGCCTTGTCCGTGAGTTGGAATTCCTGCCTTTGAGTAGGAATCTGTTGGCTTTCTCAGTGGTAGTGCTGCAATTACTGAATATTGCTCTAAATGACATCCATTAAGGTCTCTTTTTTAAGAGAACCTATTTTACACAGGACAGTTCTTTGGTTCAAGTCAACTTTGGAGAACTATAAGATCGAAGGGTTGTCCATGATTTTAGTCCTTCAGCAATAGGAATTATTTCTTTAAGGAATTACCTTCATTAGGAATATTTCCTTGTCATTCTCACTTAAGTCAGGAAGTGCAAAACAATCTTTATTTATATTCTTGGTTTGAAAATAAAGCACAGCACTGTTAGGCTCCTTGATTTATAGTGGACACTAAATTAAGTCATTCCTGGTTTGTTCAATAGTCACAATAATGGTAGGAGCCCAGTGATAACCAGCTTCAGGAGCACACAGAGACTTTGCTTGGTTTTGAAACACAAAGCTGTTATGAAAGGAAGCACTAAACAAAGAAAAGCACACACCAAAAAGGAAGTCAGTCTTTGACTTCTTGAAAGCAATTGAAAGAAACTTCCTGAAAGAATGTACTTCTCATTAAGAGTATGAGGCAGGTAGAAAAATGTGAAAGCATAAGCATAGTCTCATTTGATACTTCAGCTGAAAAATATATCTGTAAAAAGCAGCACATCTGTGCAATGTATTTATTTCGTCTCCTATCTAATTTGGGGACAAAACAATTCAGTCTTTGATTTTTCCTTTGTGTCTAGTAACTAAGATAAATGCCAAACACAGAAAGGTGAACTGGGTTGACAAGAGGCTAAATGCACAGCTTTCATTATAGATAAAGTGCACATGGATATGATTAAATAGAGCCATATTCTTTTTACTGCATGCATAAGAAAAGGAAACCTTCTCTTCCCCTTAGCCATTCACATCATTTACTTTAATAATGCTACTAAGAATACGAAAAAACAACCTACTAAAGGTCTTCAATCAGAGTGTCCTTGAATGCTGCAGAAGGCTGTCTCAAAAAAGCCATTCAACTTATAATTAGCTATAATGAAACCTGATTATTTTTCTACCTTGTTGCCTCTAAACCAGGAATCACATAGCAAGTCTTACAGTCAACAATAATATTCATGTTTCTTCTGAAATTAACTATTCATTGGCTGGTTTCATTAATCCCTTTAAGTCATGAAGCACTTGACTTCCTTTTGTTTTAGTGTTCTGTGTCATTTGTGCTAAGTCCTAACTTTAGGTTGTTGTTTAAACCCAGCCAATATCTCAGTCAACAAATCATGATTTGTTATGTCTTATTTGTTTCAAAAAAAAAAAAATAAAGACAAAGCAAAACGTTATATAATGTAAACCCAAACAATCAGAAAGCTACAGGCTACATGAAGCAGCTGTGGACATGTTGATGCTTTTCCACAATAGATATGGTTAATGTATTTATGAATTATATCTTTAAACTCAAATGCTCCAAAGTAAATCTTGCTATCTTCAGATCTCTAATTATAATCTGGGTGTCAAATTTGAACCAGATCTTCACCGTGTGTGTGTGTGTGTGTGTGTGTGTGTGTGTGTGTACGTGCACACGTGTGTGTGCATGTGCATGCATGTTCATGGAGGTTAAACACTTATTCAATCTTGACTAAATCTTCAGCTTTGCTTTTGTTTAGAATTTGGGTGGCTGATAATCTGAAATCTAAGAACTGTAGGCTAGATTGAGAAGTTGAAAAAATATTGGAGGAGGACAATGACAAATCACTACTCATACCAAGAAAACTGCTTGAATGTGTTCTAGTTATATGTCCGTCCTCCTGATTTAACGTATTATATACATAATATTGAATTATATCATAGCATAAATTAGGACCAACTAAAAGATCAAAAAATTATCTAGCTTTTGCATTCATAGGTAAAAAGCAAAAAAACCAATAAAAAAACTCAGAGTGAAATCATACACTGTGAAGAATGCTAGATATTATAACTCAGAAACATATTGAAGGTCAGTTATGTTTGCTTTATATGACATCAAATAAAGCACAATTTGGGAAACTTTTAAAATCCTTGTTTTAATCTATGTGAAGATGTTCCTTCTATGCAGCTTTGTCCTTTTTTTTTTCTAGGCAGACCCATTGTGATATAGTAACTGAGGTATTGGACTGGAACTGCAGACACCCAGATTCAAGTCCAGTCTTACCATATGGAAATACACTGTTGTTATGAAAGTACAATAAAAATATCCATATACTGTAAGCTGCCTTGAACTCCTGGATGAAAAACAGAATATATTCTAATAAATATACAGGGTTAGAGGAGGTTTAGAGTGTAAGACAACTAATCTCTGGGTGGTTCATTTGAAAAGGGTTAAATAATACAGTCCACTTACCTGTATCACAGAAACTCCTAGAGCCAGACAACTGATCTGTTTGCATATCCTCTAAGAAAAAGAGCTACAAAGCATCCCTCTCCATTACAAAACATACTTGAAAGCCAAGTAATATGAAACACAGGCCTCAACAGCCACATCCGGGGCAGGAGGTCAAAAAAGGGAAGATGGCAGTTTAGTAGCACAAAATACATCCATTTGTTCAGAGCCACATAAATGTTCTGTTATGTCTTGCCTTTTTAGACCCCCCCCCCCCGAAATGGATCTCTCTGCTCTCAAATATTAATTGGCAAACAGGCCTACTGTTTCCAGTCTGACAAATCAGGAAGGGCCTAGTAATGACAAAGCCTTGTTAGAGTTATCCTGATGTACGGGACCTTCCTACGTTCTGGGGTCAGAGCTTTCCAGTCTCCAAAATAAAAGATATTTGACCCAGTTAGTACAATTATATGCTGCTGGAAACATCAGTAAGAAAGTCTAACAGGAACGGTTGCCACCTAGATTAAGCTAGCTGAGTATGATATTGCAAGTTGATTATGGGCCTGATTCTCTATCTTTCATTTGCATACTACAGTACTTGGAATGTTAGTTTGAGAAAATAAGCAGGTAAGTTTGACTCTAGCTGGGCAATGGGCAATTTATTGCATCATTATTATTACAATTGTTGTTGTTATTGCTCCAGGTAGCCTTGTAGAGTTCAGGAAGACAACAACATACCAATTCCTTGTATGGCTGGTTCCACATCTAATGTTGCTTCTTCCAACAATGACAACAGTTTTGATGATATTTCATGGACCAATTCAATGTTGCTAAATAAGCTATCCACATCAAGTCGAGCAATCTAATGAAGCCAAAACAAGGGGCAAAAACTGAAAAAATGGAATGCTACTGTTGTAGCTATTCTTTTGCTCAGAAACACACATTACATATTCACTTTTCAATGGGTTTTCTTATGATCAGATAAAAGGGAGATTCAAATTAAAGGACAATTGGAATAAAAAACCCAAAACTGAATTTAAAATAGTTATATATATATGATGACCATATAATAAGCCAAAATGTATACACTGCTACTAAGATTTTAAACTAACAGGTTAAACACTATATCAGTGGTTCTCAACCTGTGCTCGGGACCCCATTTGGGGTCAAATGACCATTTCACGGGGGTCGCCAAACAACTCAGTCCGCCATTTTTTTCCCCTTTTCCTTAGCTGTGCTACTCCCTTTTATTCTATTGGCTTTTGAAAGCTAATAGAATAGACTCTCTTGAATAGAGTCTAATTCTATTAGCTTTCAAAAGCCAATAGGAATTGTCCAGGCTGTCTCTGCCCTGCTGAGCCCGCCAAAAGTCCCATTATGCAAACGGTGCTGCACCAGTTGAGTAGTCCTCAACTTACAACAAGTTGGGGGTCGCGGCATTAAAAAGGTTGAGAACTACTGCATTATATGATGAAATGGATTGCAATTTTTATTACAATATAACCACATTTTACATTTATATGTAAAACAAATACAAATACAAACATTTTCAGCTGATATATCTTCACAGTAGGATATGTACAGATCAGTCTTCATTATTTTTTTTTAAGCAGTGAAGTCAAAATCTGGCTGGAAGGTTATGGAGGCTGAAGGGCAATGCAACTAAGAAACACAAGGTTGGGGAATGGCAACTATTCTCCCTCTCCCACATAGCAAAGAAAGTTTTCCTATCTTTTGCGTGTTTCTCAAACAAAAATATAATAAAACTAAAAGTAATGTAAATAATTTAGATTATCTGCTTGATTATTAATCCCTAATGGTCTATACTTTTAAAAATAGAAAAGTTATCCTTTTTGTTGCAGCCATTCAGATCCATTTAATATTAAAAAAAATGTGCAAAGAAAATAAAAATGTGCAATATGTGTGTGTGTGTGTGTGTGTATGTGTGTGTTAAATTTAGATTTTTGCCTGACAAAAATATATAAATAAATAAAGCAGACTGCCTCTTTTGCTTCAAAAACAAAACTCTGAATGTGTATGTGGTAGCCAGACATTTCTGAAGTGCCAGCTGAACAACAAACTGACAGAATAAAACCTGCATGAAAAGATATAATTGTAATCAGCACTTCCATTAGCATCACTGTCTCAGATGCAATACCCTACAGTCTGGGTCTGCAAAGCTAATTACTGTAAAATAATATTAGCTATCTGCATGTGCAAATACAGCCTCTATGTCTCTCTGGCTTTATTTATTAAATTTCTAGGCTGCTCTCCTCAACTAAATGACTCTGGGTGGTTTACAACAACGTAATAAAATAATATAAAACCTGAACAAAAACACAGATAAAAAAGTTAAAACTTATAAGCTTGAAGTGAAAGTAAAAGTTAAAAATTCAGAAGGCTAAAAAGTTAGCAAGAGTGGGAATGCCCTCAAGCCACCAGCTGTCCCCAGGGCTGCATCACACTTCAGAAGATTGGGGGCTCACCTCTGAGGGTAAAATTTCTGAAGAACAGGGATAACAGCAGAGAAGGCCCTCCTCCTGGCTCAACTGGTTCTGCCAATTGAAACTCCTTGACAAATGGGATATGAAACATTATGTCCCTGCTTGACTGGGTGGGATGGGTTGATATAGTTGGGATGATATGTTCCCCCAGCTAACCTGGTCCCTTGCCTTGAAGGGCTTTAAAGGTGATGACCAACAGCTTGAATTGGACTCAAAAGCAAACTGGCACCTAGTACAACTCATGTAGCAGAGATGTTACATGTGCACATGCATTTTGCATGACACACCACTGATTAACTGAATGTTCAGTTTCATGGGTACACATAACTGACTGAACATACATTTATCATTAATTTCACATAGTTGGCTGACACGATCCAAAGTGGGCCCTTTTCACTGGAATGAATGAGACAAATTATGGGGTAAGCCAGTTCCTCAGATATCCTGGGCCCATGCCATAAATAGCTTTAAAGATAATGACCAACACTTTGAAATGGACCTGGAAGTAAACTAGCAATTGCATCCAGTTTTTCTCAGATTAAGTGAGAAAAAGAGCAAAAGGGCAGGGAGGAAGGAAAGAAGGAAGGAAGGAAGGAAGGAAGGAAGGAAGGAAGGAAGGAAGGAAGGAAGGAAGGAAGGAAGGAAGGAAGGAAGGAAGGACTAAAAGTTTCTTACCTGCCTTTTTTTCAAGGGTTCAACCACTATTCTGATGCAGAATTCCAGATCACTAAAATAATCTCTTTCTGTTTGGAGTATTTCTGCAATTATCTTTTGCCTTCTGGCCATCATTCGCTTAATGAGTTGCTCTTCAGTTTCCAGGGGTAAACCAACTGGTCCTACAGATCCTGCATGGGGTGCCATCTTTTCTGTAAACAAACAAACGTTTGTTTAAAAAATAGGTTAACAACTTGTTTAGGGCTAAATGACCCACAAAAAGGAACAGCTGCACATGGGAATGGCACACAAATCCAGAGGTTTGCAACTGATATTCTATCAATGGTCATGAATGTGATCTAGTGGCTTACTCCATGCCCAGCTTGGATAGAGCACACTGTACAAACATGTTTATTGTCTGAGTTTATATGTAGCATTAAGCCACATTCTAGTTTTCTTTGATTAGGATCATCAGGTGAAGCCAGCTACTACAACTTGCAGACCATGAATTATGCCATAGCATAATGTGCCATGAGATCCTAACTACTTGGGTATTATTCCATAAAACATGGTTAATGAAAACATGGTTTGACTGTATATATTTAATAGGAACTTCCATGTGGACAAAACAGATGTTTCTGAATTCAAAGATAAGTACAGGTAGTCCTCATTTAGTGGCTGCCTCATTTAGTGATTCTTTGCAGTTGTAATAATGATGAAAAAGTAACTTTATGACCAATCATCACATTTACAACTCTTACAGATCTGCAAAATAAAGCTGAAGTAAGATCACAAGGACAGTTGCTGTTTCACTTAATGCCCACTTCACTTAACAACCAAGTGATCAGTCCCAATTCTGATTGTTAAATGAGGACTAGCTGGACACATTTATGGCTACAGTCTCATGAAATGTAAGCTAATCTTACCTTTCTTTTCTTTCCTGAGCGTATGTTATACTGATCTTTATGCTCTAATAATTTGAAACAATACTCAGGATATTCAATATTATTTTTATACACTTACTTGGACTTAACACTTTAGTCTTCATTAAGTGAAATGAACATCGAGGTTTATCTACCTGAATTAATATTAATATTAATACATTGTTTCTCTCTTTCCTCCTTCCATTTGTTGTTTCCCCTCCAATCTGAATTTATATTTTTCAGTACAGAAAAGTATTTTCTTTATGTTACTTTATAAAGCACAAGTAGTGTAAATGAGAAACCTATACTGTCAAAGAGAAGGTCTTATTTTGTATTGTATAAATTAAACATTTGAAAATAAGTCAGCAGGGATGTCCACAGGATATACTTAAAACAACGAATTCTCCACTTTCTCAACTCCTATTCAGTCCTATGTGGTCCTTCCATTCCTGGTTGACTCAAGGATTTAGCCATGTCTGTTTTAATCATGATTTGATTAACACAGTGGCTTGATTTACACATAACTCTAAATCATAATGATGGTCATAAAAGCAACATTAAAGAAGGAAGCAGACCATATCATGAGTTAACACAATAGGTGAAACACCTTAACAGAGGGACCCACAATCAGTAATAAGAGCTATTGCAAATAGCAGGTTCTTTTTAAAGCAAAGCTTGAAAAGAATAGGGAAATCTGGCTAATTTTAACCTCATTAATATAACTGCTGATGGAACTAATAAGACCAAAAATAGTAATGATTTGCACATGTGAGAATTTCAGGGGAAATGCAATTTCTGATTTCTCAACTGTATTTTAAAGATATAGAATTCAGAGATAATTCTGGCTTAGTAGCTATCACATAGTTCCTAGTTATCTGATTCCATTCTGAATAAAATGCTGAAATTTATGCCCTCTGAGAAAGTTTCCTCTGAGTATCAGGTTTCCCATGTATTTCAGGCAAAGAAACATTATAGTCTCTATAACCTTGCACAAACCACTAGAGAATTTGACACTGCTTAACTATTATCAACTGATACCTATTTAAGTAATCCAAAACCCCAGTTTTGTTTTTTGTTTAACCATGTGTTGCAAGTAGTTATGAAAAAGACACATAACTTTTACAGAAAATATCTGATTTCCATTCCTTGACTTTAGATTCTTTTAAACGATTGAATGAATATTTTCTGGAACACTGAAAAAAATATAAAAAATTATCAAAGATGAAATAATATCCTTATTGTGAATGCTTCTGATGGACTCCGATGGGTAATGTTTCTCCTACTTGGGTTGTGAATTCTAAAGTTACTACATAAAACAATCTCTGAATTAATTATGTATAAATATAATCTATGTATATATGTGGATTGAGCTGATACAGGCAAAAGATTTCTTCCTCCCATAATTGGGCTGACAGGGTGCATCAAAAAAACCCCACTCAATATAAATATATATTTTGTTGTTGTTGTTGTTACTTGCGAAGTCGTGTCCGACCCATCGCGACCCCATGGACAACGTTCCTCCAGGTCTTCCTGTCCTCTACCATCTTCTGGAGTCCATTCAAATTCACACCTACTGCTTCAGTGACTCCATCCAGCCATCTCATTCTCTATCGTCCCCTTCTTCTATTGCCCTCAATCTTTCCCAGCATTAGGCCCTTCTCCAGTGAGTCCTTCCTTCTCATTAGGTGGCCAAAGTATTTGAGTTTCAACTTCAGGATCTGGCCTTCTAAAGAGCAGTCGGGGTTGACCTCTTCTAGGACTGACCGGTTTGAACGCCTTGCAGTCCAAGGGACTCGCAGGAGTCTTCTCCAGCACCATAGTTCAAAGGCCTCCATTCTTTTGCGCTCAGCCTTTCTTATGGTCCAGCTTTCACAGCCATACATTGCAACTGGGAAAACCATGGCCTGGACTATACGCACTTTTGTTGGCAGGGTGATGTCTCTGCTTTTTAGAATGCTGTCTAGATTTGCCATAGCTTTCCTCCCCAGGAGCAAGCGTCTTTTAATTTCTTGGCTGCAGTCCCCATCTGAGGTGATCTTGGAGCCCAGAAAAATAAAATCTGTCACTACCTCCATTTCTTCCCCATCTATTTGCCAGGAATTGAGAGGGCCGGATGCCATGATTTTGGTTTTCTTAATGTTGAGTTTCAAGCCAACTTTTGCACTCTCCTTCTTCACCCGCATCAAGAGGCTCTTTAGTTCCTCTTCACTTTCTGCCATTAGAGTGGTATCATCTGCATATCTTAGGTTGTTGATATTTCTCCCGGCAATCTTAATTCCAACTTTTGATTCATCTAGCCCTGCCTTTCTCATGATGTGCTCTGCATATAAGTTAAATAGGCAGGGCGACAGTATACAGCCTTGCCGGACTCCTTTTCCAATTTTGAACCAATCAGTGGTTCCGTGTTCAGTTCTCACTGTTGCTTCTTGACCCGCATATAGGTTTCTCAAGAGACAAATGAGATGGTCTGGTACTCCCATCTCTTTAAGAACTTGCCACAATTTGTTGTGATCCACACAATCAAAGGCTTTTGCATAGTCAATGAAGCAGAAGTAGATGTTTTTCTGGAACTCCCTAGCTTTCTCCATGATCCAGCGTATGTTGGCAATTTGATCTCTAGTTCCTCTGCCTCTTCGAAATCCTGCCTGTACTTCTGGAGTTCTCGATCACACATACTGCTGGAGTCTAGCTTGTAGGATTTTAAGCATAACTTTACTAGCATGTGAAATGAGTGCAATGGTGCGATAGTTTGAACATTCTTTGGCATTGCTTTTCTTGGGATGGAATGTAAACTGACCTTTTCCAATCCTGTGGCCACTGTTGAGTTTTCCAAATTGCTGGCAAATTGAGTGTAGCACTTTTACTGCATTGTCTTTTAAGATTTTGAATAGCTCAGCTGGAATACTGTCACCTCCACTAGCTTTGTTGTTGCTCAGATTTTCTAAGGCCCATTTCACTTCACATTCTAGGATGTCTGGTTCGAGGTCAATGACCATCTCATTGTGGTTATCTGGGATGTTAAGCTCATTCTTGTATAGTTCTTCTGTGTAGTTTTGCCATCTCTTCTTAATCTCTTCTGCCTCTGTTAGGTCTCTGCCATTTTGGTCCTTTATCATGCCCATCTTTGCATGAAACGTTCCCTTCATATCTCCAATTTTCTTGAAGAGATCTCTGGTCCTCCCTATTCTGTTGTTTTCTTCTATTTCTTTGCACTGTTCATTTAAGAAGGCATTCTTATCTCTTCTAGCTACTCTCTGGAATTCTGCATTCAATTGGGTGTATCTTTCTCTTTCTCCTTTGCCTTTCGCTTCCCTTCTTTCCTCAGCTATTTGCAAAGCTTCCTCAGACAGCCATTTTGCTTTCTTGCATTTCTTTTTCTTTGGGATGGTTTTAGTTGCTACCTCTTGTACAATGTTGCGAACTTCCATCCATAGTTCTTCAGGCACTCTGTCTATCAGATCCAGTTCCTTAAATCTATTTGTCACCTCTACTGTATATTCATCAGGAATATGATTTAGTTCATACCTGAGTGGCCTAGTGCTTTTCCCTACTTTTTTCAATTTAAGCCTAAATTTTGCAACGAGAAGCTCATGATCTGAGCCACAGTCAGCTCCTGGTCTTGTTTTTACTGACTGTATAGAGCTTCTCCATCTTTGGCTGCAGAGCACATAGTCAATCTGATTTCTATGTTGACCGTCTGGTGATGTCCATGTGTAGAGCCGTCTCTTGGGTTGTTGGAAAAGAGTGTTTGTTATGACCATCGTATTCTCTTGACAAAATTCTATTAGCCTGTGCCCTGCTTCATTTTGTACTCCAAGGCCAAACTTGCCTGTTATTCCGGTTATCTTTTGGCTTCCTACCTTAGCATTCCAATCCCCCATGATGATAAGGACATCATTTTTTGGTGTTAATTCTATAAGGTGCTGTAGGGCTTCATAGAACCGGTCAATTTCATCCTCTTCAGCACCAGTGGTTGGGGCATAGATTTGGACTACTGTGATATTGAATGGTTTGCCTTGGATTCGAATTGAGATCATTCTGTCATTTTAGGGGATTGTATCCCAGTATTGCTTTTCCTATTCTTTTATTGACTATCAAGGCTACTCCATTTCTTCTGAAGGATTCTTGCCCACAGTAGTATACCTGATGGTCATCTGAGTTAAATTCACCCATTCCTGTCCATTTTAGTTCGCTGATTCCTAAGATGTCGATGTTCAGTCTTGTCATCTCTTTTTTGACTACGTCTAGCTTGCCTTGATTCATGGATCTTACATTCCAGGTTCCTATGG